TATCAAATAAGCTGGATTAATTGAATCCATTTGTTCATTTATTAAGGAGTCCATCATGCCTGTATCATGCCTATCATTGATTCTGATACAGTGAAATAGCCTTTGTCTTTGTACTGACTTGGCGTAGTTTTATCAAAAGACAATACAAAAGCTTTAGTTTTCCTCTGCAGTTTAATTGCTAGTAAATCTATATTTCCTGTTGGACCCTTATATTGATATAATTTTCAGCCCTTGTTACTTTGTAATTCTTCTTGATCCTCAAAATGGCCCCATGAAGATGTGCCAGAGGCAAATAAACAGTATAGTGGGTAGGGTACGTGCCTTGCACACAATCAACCCAGGTTTAGTCCTCAGGACCACATACGGTCCTCTGAACCTTGTCCAGAGTGATCCCTGAAGACAGAGCCAGGAGTAAGGCCTGAGCACCACCAGGTGTAAGTAATCTTCCCTCCCTCCCTCCCCCAGAAAAAGCAAACCAGGATTTGGATTTTCCTTTCTATACCGGTCCTTGGGAATGCCCTCTTTATTTTCATGAGTGTGATTGTGTTCATGCAGAGACCTTGACAGAACTGTGTTTTCCTGGAGGATGGTGAAATTGAGAAAGAACTGCATTCTCATTAATGTTTTGACCCAACACTACAAGAAAGATAGGATCTTGAGGCAAATAAATTATACATTTTTTTCTTTTTGCAATCTTAATCAGGGAGCACTGTTTTCACTTATAAACTTGAGTAGCAGTTCGGTGCAAAACCTTTTATGGAGATTTTCCTCCAATGTTTTAATGCAGCCTATTTAATTTACAAGCAACTTTCTGTGACCCTGTTCAGAAGTGGTGTCTTGCTAATGATTGTTACCTAAGTATCCCCAATAAGAGCTGTAAGAGACCTCTACTCCAGGAAAACTCTTCCAGAACCTGTCTGCCACTGTTTAAATAAAACAAGCACGTGAAAAAATGAGGTTTTTTTTTTAATTTGGACATTATTTTCAAGCTTATCCCTCAAATTTAGCTAATCCTAAAACTATTATTGAAACTGTTACTTAAAAAAAAATGAGCCTCACTATTCTATCAACTTTCTATAATCTCAGAGGCTAGTTTCTATATTCTAAAGCCTTCTCCACTAAATATCATTTTTGTCTTAAAACTCAGGAGGAGTTTTTTCAGCACTTCTATTTCTTACTGCGGCAAAGAATAAATTGTCAACAGAGAAAAGTGGGGTAGTTGGGAAGTGGGGATGGCTGGGATTTGTGTGCCTGGGGAAAGATGTATAAGAAGCTTTCAATCGAGCAGAGAGGTTTTTGCTCTTAAGCTTTCACATTAGACTATACATTACATCGTTGCAGTGAGCATTTTCTTCTCCAGTCTATCTGAGGTTTTAAGTTTCTGGATTTATTATGGCACCCAGTAGCAAAACTAGAGTCAAGTGTTTTCAAGGCTTCCATTAGAAATTCCTTTTTCAGAGTTTATTGCCTGACTGTTTCAAATTATATGAGAGAAACTTGGCACATAGGTTGTTGAACTGGATTACTTTTTTCAACATAAAATCTAATTTATTTCAGTTTGTTTTTAATCTAGGGATGATCCAACAACTCTTGTCATAGTTTTAGAAGATTTGATCATAGTTCTAAATAATATTTCTGGGGGACAAAGAGAAACTGAATTTTTCAACCTAATTGCTCACAGAGTTTTCAAACTCCTTGTTGAAAAACTAGAGAAATTAATTTTTACAAAACATTTAATTAGTGTGCTAGATATCTGCAAATCATTTCACCATGTGTAATACAGCATGTATGAATTGGTACATGACTTAGAGTTAGTTTATTCTAATGTTTTTACTATGCCTTATTCTTTCTGATAGAATATCACCCAAGACTGATGTTCCATCATAGTGCAGGAAACACATCACATAAATTCTTTTTGTTTGTTTTGGGAGCCCATACTTGGTGGTGCTCAGGGGTTACACCTGGCTCTGCACTCAGGAATCACTCCTGGTAGTACTCGGGGGACCATATGGAATGCTGGGCATTGAACCTGGGTCTACTACATGCAAGGCAAATGCTCTACTCACTGTATTCTCTCTCCAGCCCTCAAGTTTTGCTCATCAAATTCACACTGTTTCTGTTCATCCAAGAAAGCTCTGGTGAGGTCTTCCTTCACATGCATACAGGACAAGTGACTCACAATGACCTTCCTTACATTCCTCGTTTGGGGATAACATTTTATTGGCCCCTTTTATCTTTCATTTCCATTATTTCTTTCTGTTTCTCTTTCACTTCTTTCTCTCTCACTTCCATTTTTCTTCTACCTTATTTTATCTCTTTAAAATGTTGAGTTGATTGCCAGGGTTGAGATGATTTCTCATTGAGAGGACAGACCACATTCATAACATTGTTGATTTTTAATCTTAAGGCACTTTGTACTGTTGACTGAGCAATTTTATTTTACCAACAAATCATCCTTTTCAGTATTACCCTAAGAAATATAATTATGCCTATTGAATATAAAGTCCCTAATAGCATAGTTAAAGCATTATTAAAGATGCACTGGTATTACACTGTCCCAGAATAGGTATACTCTAAAGCAGAGTTTCTCAACTGGAGTCCATATGGGCCTCCCATGGGTTTCCAGGATATTACAAAGGATTCACAGGTGAAAATTACAGAATTGGGGTGCCAAGCGCAAGAATAGAGGGCTAGCCCAGCATAGAGTGATCACAGGAAGGATATAATATTAGAAGGGAGCCACAGTCAGAAAGAAGTTAAGAAACATTACTTTAAAGCAAACTGGAATTTTGTTTAAAATACTACAGCATTATTACTGTGTTCTAAATACTTCTAGGTTATATTTATGTTAGGCATTACTACTATAAAATACTAAGTCACTATTCTTGGAGAAATTTTTAAATCTTAAACTCCAAGAACTTTAGGAGAATGAATATCCAGGGCCAGAGTGATAGGACAGCTGGAAGGGTATTTGCCTTATAGTCGGCCGACCCGGGTTCAATTCCTGGCATCCCATATGGTCCTCTAAGCACTTCCAGAAGTGATTCCTGAGTGCAGAGCTAGGAGTAACCCCTGAGAATCACTGGGTATGACCCAGAGAGAGAGAGAGAGAGAGAGAGAGAGAGAGAGAGAGAGAGAGAGAAAGGAGAATGACTATCCAAGAAAATATTAGACCACTCAACATTTTGGTGGGGCTGGAGAAATACTACAGCAGGTAGGGCTCTTGCCTTCCACACAGCCAACTGGGGTTCAATCCCAAGCATCCCAGATCATTCGCTGAGCCCACCTGGAGTGCAGAATGAGTGACCCCTGAGTATTGCTGCCAGGTGTGACCCAAAAACAAAACAGAAACAAACAATAACCAGTAAAGAAATCACTTTATCTTTAAAAATATTTTTTAAAGATACTTAATCAACTTTGCCTTACAAAGGGAGATGGTAATTGGAATTTAGGTTAATTTGCTTTGCCTACGTCCCACCCCGGTTCAATCCACAAAACCGCCTGTGGTCCCCTTAGCACACAGAAGTGATCACCTAAACAGAGTCAAGAGTAGTCCCTGCCACCCCTAGTTATGTCCCAATCTCCCCTTACCCTACCCCCCCTCACAGAAACAGTTTGAAGTTAATTTGTATTGTATTATATTTCCATATCAATAAATGTCACTCGCTGTTAAGTGGTCAAACCAAGGAATTCCAGGAAAGCAGACAAATTATACGTTGGCTTCTAACTATGAAAAGTCTTCTGCCAATTAAAAAATATACCCCTTATATTAGAATTTTTTAGTGAGTAAATATAATAATGAGGGGAATAACAGTGACTGTACTGTTGAACGTGGACTCAGCACTACTAGATAACATGTTTTAGACACATAATTATTTTAACATTGTGTTAAGACTGTACCCTGGGCAAGATCCAGGTTCTAGGACTTGTTTATCTTCTGTGTGAGGACAACTAACTGTCTGATGCCAAAACACAATGAACTTTCAAATATCAAAGGGGAAAATTAAGTATTTCAAGTCCTCAGCTGGTTTACAGATGTGTGAGCTTTGTAGTCCAATTTCTGGTTCTAGTAGGGCATTGTGACAATTTTTCCAATATGTGTATACTAGATAACTTTTGGAAGTAAAATTACGTACTTTGAATACTTAAATAATTTTCTGAATTAAGAGTTTTATATTCTTTAAAAATGAATTCTGAAACCAAGTTTCATCATCTTTAAAACATAATTAAGGAACTTCTCTTCAGAGTCAGAAAAATAAAAGCATTTTGAAAACAGGTATTCATTTAGATCTATGATTAACCTTTAACAAGATCTTTCTCTTAAATTCTACATTTGCTTTAATCTCAGTAGGAAAAATACAAAATAGTATTGCAGCATATAGAGTTTCTATATACCCTGTGGATGTTAAATGATCTCTTACTGCTAAAGGCACATCTGTAACATATTTAAATGCCAGCTTTGGGCATTATTAGTGTAAAATGCTAAGTCACTTTTTTGGAAATATTTTGAAAAGTTTAAACTCCAGGAGGAAACTCCAATAAATTGTAATCTTATGATACCATTTGTTTGGAGAGAAGGACGGGAAGATGAGTAGCTGTATTGCAATTTTTTTTTTTAGAGAAAAGTAGTATGATCATTCTCCTTAAAATGGATCTGAGTTTTGATAGTGGAATGATTACAGTGCTAAAGGCTGCTGGATCACTTATTATTTTTAAAATTATTTAAAATTATTTTAAAGCCATATTATCTGTTGTTGAAAAGATAATCCAAGTCATCATGTTTGAGGCTCACTTTAAACTAAGAGTCTAAGAGTTTAGGATTGTTAGAGAATTGTTTCTGATTGGTTTTATATAATCTATTCAGAGCCTACAATAATAAAGTGTATACATTTTTTTTCTAAGTGACAGTCAATAAAAGTGTGTCATTACATTGCTTTTTCCCCCCCTCTTACCTTGCTTTTTTTAACCTTCTTTTTTTTCTCCTTACTGCATCTTTGAAGGTCAAATATTCGGGACAATGTAGAAATGATTAAGCTACATAAGCAACTCGTGGAAAAAAGCAATGCTCTTTCAGTTATGGAAGGGAAATTTATTCAGCTTCAAGAGGTACTGTAATCATTTATTTTATGATGGTAATACAAATATACAAAGCCTCAAAAGAAAGTGTTCAAGTTTTTTTTTTTAAGTAAAGTGGTTGTAGAACTAAAAAAAGGTTTTCAAAATTGCCCTTTATTCTCAAATATATATAACCTCATATATTTGTTATTTATAACTTAATAACAAAAAATAAGTTTTATAAATATCTGTGTGTATTTAAATAATAAACACATTTATCATAAATTATATCATGCCAGGAAAATTTATTTTTAACTCCTTTGTCTGATGAGCACATGGCATTAAAGGTTTAGTTTTCTTTTTGAATATATGTTCAGTTGTAAGTATTTATGAATCTGACATAGACCAAAGTTATAAATAAGTTCAGTAATTAGGTTTTATTAAATCTGTCTTTGATGTGGTGTTTTGTTATTATAATTATCAGAAAAGTATTTGAATATCCCTTATGTCAATTATCATATTTATTTTAAATCTTAACCATTGAAGTAACAGTACTTGGGTCTCTTCATCTCTGTGGTAGTTTAGCATGGACTATCTATGGCCCCACAAAAATATGTCATCAGAGAGTTTGTATTTTTTGGCACTGCATAATTACCATAGGTTCTGGAATTAATGAACTCCAAAACATTCCAGATGAGCAGAATTTCTATTAAGCAATACTTTCTTTGAAGTACTGAGACAAGGAAAGCAATAAATTTATGTGAAGCACGGGGTCATCTGAAACCTGAATTCGCTATTGAGTTGGATAGATACTTCTATAAGTCACACTCTGGGTATTGTTTCTATCCTACAGGAACCTATTTAAACGCCAAGTAATAATTACCTTTTCCCACAATTAGGCGAATCTGAAAGGAGAGGAGACTAATTAGAGAGTGAGAATGATAGTGCTGTCTGCGGATAGAAAAGTAAGATTAAAAAGTGTATATAGTCAAAAGACATTTCTAAAATGGAAAATTAAGAAAGGGATTAAAAAGTGATTTCTTTTTTTTAGGGGTGAGGGAGATAGCTCAGAGAGCTGGAGTGCATGCTTTGCACGTGGGAGATTCAGGTTCAATCCTTGCCACCACATGGGCCCTCAAGCCCCAACAGAGGGTCTCTGAACCAGGTCACACCAAGTACTGCCCACTATACACCATAGCCCAAAAACTAAAAAAGAAAAAAAGTGTAAATGATTTTTTTTATAATCTCTTCTTCTTAATTATCTTTACTGCCTCACAGTGGCCTCAGTTTTTTTGTTGTTGTTGTTGTTTGTTTGTTTGTTTAAATATCAAATAAATCAGGACAGTGTAGAAATGATTAAACTACATAAGCAACTCGTGGAAAAAAGCTCCTGCTATGCCAGGAGCACCCCTGAGGGAAACTGACATAGGGTCGAGGTTTGAGGGGTTCAGCCCACACCTGCAATGAAGTAGGAAACCCAAAGAGGGCGTGTTAAAGATAGTGTTATGTCATAATCGCAGGAAAAGTCAAAATTGTCCTCAAGTAGCTCAGTAGGCTTTTTTTTTTTTCCTTTTTCATAAGGAACTTCAGTAGAACTTAATTGATTTGAGTTAGCAGATGAGGTATTCCATGTTCTGGTCATATGGTTCCAATGAAAAACACTTTAATTACCTTTTCTTTAATTTAGAAAATGGAATACATGGCATTTAAGCATATAAAATTAATTTAAAGCATATTCATAAATAGGCCATTTTAAAAATGAAGAAGTTTGTGATATTTTGCTAAATTGAACGTTTGGTTGTTTGGGTTTTTTCCACTTAATTGTATTAAAATGAGGAGCTAACCTTCCAAGCTTGTTTATTTAGTGTGGTGACAAATCCTTTCCGTTTTAGTATCTGTGGTCAGCATTTATTTGTGCCCCATGCTACCTCAGTTTTAGACAGCATGCCCAGTCACTGCAACCACAGAAAAGAAAGCGGGAAAAGCTACAATGGGTTTACTTACTGGTCACTCTCAGCAAGTCAAAAACCGTTAGGGGAAAAAAAGGAAAAGCAGTTTCTTAGCCACTCTGCTAAAAAAAAAATCTGCTTTTTTCTTTCTTCACATAAGTGGAGAATTTCTCCTGTGATCAGGTTGTACATAGACATTATTTGTGATGCAAAGAATAAGCTGTGTGTCGTGAATTGTGGCAGTAAATTTTTTTTGATCAATCATAATTATTTTTTTGTTCAAAGCAGAATCCAAAAGTCGTTCTGAAAAAAAAAAAACTTTTGGACTGTTGTTTTTTAGAAGCAAAAAACTCTTAGGATCAGCCACGATGCCCTGATGGCCAATGGAGATGAACTTAATAAGCAGCTTAAAGAGCAACGTTTAAAATGCTGCCGTCTGGAGCAGCAGCTGCACGCCAAGATGTTTTCTGAAAGGAGAATCGAGGAGGTAAGCTTCCGGAGAGACCGAGTATCCAGGACACTGAATGCTTCTGATGCTGTTTCGAAGAGAAAAGTAAAGACATTTCAAGTGTTGTTTTTTTATTATTATTATTATTTTAAAATCCCACGATGCATACATGGCACCTTGAACACAGTGAAAAATAGACACTGATAATATTGTGTACTGGTAAACCAGTAAAACAGTCACAAACTTTCAAAGCAAGCTTAGGGGAATGTTTCTGTTTCCAAGACGGATGTTTTGTTCTGCAGCATCAGCGGTTTTGTTGTGTTTTTCTAACTCTTTTACAAGGACGTTATTTGAAAACTCATCTTCCTATATTATTGTTGTTTCTCGCATCTCCAACTAGCACAAATCTTTTTCTTTTGTTGTTTTTTTTTTAACCTTCTTCTTAAGGAAAAATGAAATGAATTTTGAGATTACTCTTATCATGACAAAAGGTGGCAGCTACAAAGGTGGAAGCCTTTGATCTGATGCTCTGCACAACAAAACAAGCACAGTGGCAAATAGAACTTGAAAAATAAATGTGAGGGGGCCAGAGAGATAGTACAGCAGAAAAGGCACTTAGTCTGCAAGTGGCTGAGCTGCGTTCAATCCCCTGGTACCATAGTTGGGCCCTCAAACCCCACCAGGAGTGATCCTTGAGCGCAGAGCCAGAAGTAAGTCCTCAGCAGTGGGTGAGTGACCCCAAACAAGCCTAAATAAATAATAAATAAATAGAAATAAATGCAGAAAATTACATTTTAGTCATGAAGATATATTACCTCATGTTTATATCTAAAGATATTATGGGGGGTGGTGGTCGCTGAAACATGGTGTACTATTGATTCACTTATAAAATATGTCATTGGCTCTTTGTAAATTCCAGGTAATGGGAGAAAGTGTGTCCTCAAGGTAAATAGGGATCAACACAATTTTCTGAATCATGCACCAAGAGAAAAGTTAATCCTCTTATTTCCAGTGAGTCCATTGAGCATGATGATGGAGTTCATCAGGGAAATAAGTGAAAAAAAAAATTTCCATAGACTTCACAGCAGTTTGTTTTGTTTTTGTTTGGGGGCCACACCCAGTGATGCTCAGGATTTACTCCTGACTTGGTGCTCAGAAATTACTTCTGGCGTTGCTTGGGGGGACCATATATATATAGCAGGATGGGGGTCGAGCTCATGTCACCCACTGTACAATCTCTCCAGCCCTGACAGAGAATTTTTAACTACAAATTATGGTGCTTGCTGGGGTTTCCAGATTGTGGTGCTCAGGGCTGCATTCCTTTAGGTAGGCCTGTACAGGTTCATTTATCCACTTCAGTTGTGGTACTGTAGTACTTGCTGGATTGCTCACACACTCCTCACTGTGGTGTGGCTGGAAATCGCTGGCAGCAGAAATCAGAGCTGAAAGACTCCAAGAGCTGAGCCGCGGGAATTGTACTGCGCAAGTGGCAACCCCAGGGGGCGAACTCATGACCATAAACCAGGCCCCTGAGCCCCTGCACTGTTCTTCCAGACTCCTCCAACACATTATTTATGGAAATCTGGCACATATTGTCACAAAGCAGTAAAGTGCCTACTAACTGAAAATATTAATAGCATGTTTGACAATTTTTTTTTAAAAAAAATCAATGCTGGATTAAATACAGACAACATGAGCGATTTAGTTAGTAGCTGCAATTTAGAAATTAAAAAACTGAAACATGTTAACTCCTTTCGCATTTTTTTACCCCCATGTGGTTTCATATGATAATTACCTAATGAGTCTTTTTTTGTTTTTGTTTTTCCTTTTAGCTGCAGGATAGAATTACTGATTTAGAAAAGGAACGGGAATTGTTAAAGGAAAACTATGATAAACTTTATAACAGGTAAATAATGGTTCCATGTAGTCTCTGATTCTCTTAAGATTTTTTTTTTAGCATTTAGACATAGGGTGTCAGAAAAAATAAAATATTAACTTAAAATTAGCAGTGAATGATATTTTAGATAGATTTTATAAAAGGAAAAATAAGTGTCTGTTCAGGCATTGGTTGTAAGAAAACCATATCCCTGTTTCCAAAATCAACACCACTGGGCTGGGCTGGAGCGATAGCACAGCGGTAGGGCGTTTGCCTTACAAGCGGCCAACATGGCCGACCCGAGTTCGATTCCTCCGCCCCTCTCCGAGAGCCCGGCAAGCTACCCATGACGTATTTGATATGCCAAACACAGTAACAGTTGTCACAATGTTACTGGGCCCGCTCGAGCAAATCAGTGAACAACGGGAGGACCGTGACCATCATCTACTGAGCACAAACTAAGCTAGCAGGCATCTGCTAAATACTTTAGATATGTCATAAATTCCTCATAAAACCTTGAAACATAGATATTATAAATGCCTATTTTGCAGTCAATGAAGACAAAATGCAAGCAAGCGACTTGCCTATATTGATAAGTCACAGAAGTAACTGACTTATATTTGAACTTTTCTTTGTTTTCCTTGCTTCTTCCACCGAACTGTCCAGCCTGTTAAATGAGTGAATCTGTTGGTAAAGAGTAAAAGCGTTCACTCAGAATCATCTCTGTTCCATAGAACGAGAACACGAATTCAAGAAAAATTTATAGAGCTTCTTAAATGTTGTTTCTTTTTGTGCTTCGTGATTATGATATTCTGAAATTAATCCTTTATGGTAAGGTAAAGGTAAAGGCCCTCCCGTTGATCGTCGATTTGCTCGAGCGGGCCCAGTAACGTCTCCATTGGAGACTTTGTTGTTACTGTGTCTGGCATATCGAATACTCTCGGTAGCTTGCCGGGCTCTCCGAGAGGGGCGGAGGAATCGAACTCGCGTCGGCCATGTTGACTGCTTGTAAGGCGAACACCCTACCGCTGTGCTATTAGAAAAAAATTCTATGTGGTAGCTAAGTTTAGTTAAGTGATAAAGAAATTTGTATGCATACATGGGTATTTCTAAGTCTTTTCATATGATCCTGCTGAGTGATAAGTACAGGTTTACATAAAAAATGCATTTATACGTATATATTAAAATATGCCTATTACAGCTCATATTCAACAATTATTGATTATATACTGAAGCACCTGAAAATAACTCTCTGATCTGCAGGTAAATCTTTTAACCTTTCAGCTGTATATTTTATGTTTTGTATGTCTGGAAGCTCAATTTGCATTTTTAAGTTAAGTAAATCTTGGATGAGGAATCAGGATAGACTTTTATTTTGATTCGTTTTAAAAACTACTTAATTTAAGTTAGGCATCACTCCAGTGGTATGGATTACCTATGTTCTTTACCTGCTTGTACTGATTATTTCTGTATAGTGGCTCGTTACATTGGAGGTTACTAAATATCAGAGTCAGACACCAGTTAAAATAGTCCTCTGGGACTCTCTGCCGTATGTCGGTCTTTCTGTGGGATAGCCCTGAGCTGCCTTCCAGATTATTTGGCCCCCAACACTGCTTTGTTGTGGCTTCTCTCTCATCAGCCCTGATTAGTCGTACCTAAAATATCTATCATATCTCCTGCTTACATTTCCTTCTCATAGAATAGCGCATAGGCCAATACTGAAGTATGTCTAAGTATTTATTAATTATATGTTTTAAATATTCAAATTTCAGCATACAAAATAAAGACTAAAAAAAAAGTTATCCCCATATTTTATGTGAGAGAAATGAGACTCAAGGTAAGAAATGTGCACAGACTGACATAGCATTACTGAGATTCCAGAGTAGACAAAGACCCCGTTTTTTATGACTTTAAGACTCTTTGATCTCTGATTTTAATTGCATTGAAAAATTCTTCCACCCATTCCCCTCTTTGGACCACACCTGCTGTGCTCAACACTTATTCCTGACTCTGATCAAGGGTCACTCCTAAGGAGATCACATGACCATAATTGGTGCCAGGGATCGAACCTGAATCCCCACATGCAAGGCAAGCACTCTGCTGGCTGTGTTATTGCTTGTGCCCCCATTGGAAAAATTTTGTATGTGAAAATGGAACTTTTTTTTAATGACTAAACTGTCATTCATTCAGAAACTTCTATTTTATTTATTTTCCTATATGTTATAATCTCAAATGATTTCACATGGTCTAAATACAAAACAAATAAGTACTTATACTTACTTATACACTTTCTACTTCCCCTGATTTGAGGACTTGCTGAACTTACTTTCTTTGAATTAAAAAATAAAGACACATTAAACTTAACTGGGAATAGTGCATAGACATCATTTTGTGAGACATGATTTTCTCATGTCTTAACACCATGAAGATTTCTCATTCTATATATAATGATCTATGACTGTAAATGCAACTTGGAAGGGTTTCATTTGGAATTTTATGCTTGGACTATATGTTTTTTCCTGCCACATTTGAAAAAAAAAAGAAAGAAAGAAGAAAATTCAGTACTGAAAAGGCACTGACTTTACCCTGGTTCAGTTGTTGACACATTGGTTCCCTAACACATAGCTAGGAGTAGCCCTTAATTAAGGCTGGGTGTGGGCCCAAACCTTTGCCCCCCCCCCCAGAAGAGATATACATACACACACACACACACACACACACACACACACACACACACACACACACACAGTATTCTTTGTGATGCATTCATTTGAATTTTGTCTAAGATGTAAAACACACACTCTAATGTGTAAGATATATATGTTAGTAAAAATGAAACTAACATTCTCTAACACATTTTTTATTTCTTTTGGGAAGGCAATTTGGGCCATATCTGACCGTGTTCAAAGGCTGTTTCTGGGTCTGTACTCAGGAGTAACCCCGGGTAGGTGTTCAGGGAATTGAATCAGGGTCAAGCGCGTTCAAGGCAAGAGGCTTCCCCCTGTTCTATCTCTGTGGCCCTCAATTTTTACATGTTTAATTGCTTTCAGAAGCACAGTTGGAGGAAATCTACAAAAGTTTATATCATCCCTGAGATCCTTTATAGCTCCTGTGTTTAATAGCACTGCTATTCATCATTACCAATAACTAGTGCTCGTCAAAAGCTACATGCACTCCCTTTCTGGTTAGTCATAATGATAATATGTTTTTAGAAGTTGAGCATTTGTTTGTTATTCAGAATTGGCTAGTTTTCTGGAGAAAAATATGATTTGCAGATTGCATCCTCATCGTTCTTTTTCAAATGAAATTTTAAATGTGTTTATTGCTTGACATGTGACATATTAGAAAATGATCCTGGTATGATAAAACCCTCATGTTAGTATTTGGTATGAGCCTTTTTTCAATATGCTAAAGTATTTTGATACAATGTCAAAAATAAGTGTAACTTAATGAAATGTACAATTTGAAAATTCAGAATAAAATATTTGCAATTAAATCTCTCTGTTCAGTTGAGCAAACTTGTAATAGAGCAAAGCTGTGTCCCATTTTTGAAGTTAGTATACTTCTAGAGTGATATAATTGAAAACTTTTCTTCAGCTATAATATCCTTCAACTGTAATATATTAAAAATCACCAGGAAACACACCAAAAGAGAAGTTTTACTACCCCCCTTGTGCCCTTCCTATCTCCTACTTCCCATCCAAGAACCTCACCCCCACCAACTATTCCATTCACATTCAATCAATCTGCTACCAGGTCTAGAGAATCGGTTAAATTGATTTCAAGACATTCGCTTATTTTTTTTTATTTAAAGGCATTCATTTTTTAAAGCAATTTTAAGATTTTAATTTCCTAAGAAAAACTAATGCCTTTTTTATTTTTAGCATTGGTCTAGTTTTTGAAGAAATTTTAAGAATTGGGCAAATCAGGGTCGTAGAGATAGTACAATGAGTAAGGTGCTTGTCCTGCACTCAGCCCCCTTGTTTTTGATCCCCAGCACCACACATGGTACCCTGAGTCCCTGAACACAGGAGCCAGGAGTAACCCTGAGCACAGTTGGGTGTCGCCCCCCACACCCCACCAGGAAAAAAAATCACAAGAAGCACTTCTGACCCCTGTAGACTCTGCTTTGTTTCAGGAGCATGACCAGCTATCCTGTCATTCTTTAAGGAATCATGGAAGCTCATATGATCAGTTATGAGAGCTTTGTGCTTCCCAGAAGTCAAACAGTACATTTGATGCAACAGCTCTCCTCTGGACATCATTTAAGTGAAGTATTGTGAAGTCAGTCTGCATTTAATTTTTAGCAAGCCCTACCTGCAGTGCCTATAGATTTCTTTGTGCGTGATTCGATCCTATTGCCCACATTTCACATTAGGATGCTCTTGAATATTGGTACAACTAGAATTTCTTCTGTTAGAAATAAGACCTTAGGGTGGGGATAAATTCTTCAGTTCCTATTTCGATTGTATCGGGTTGACTAAGGGTGTGTATTTACAGTACGCTGACCCATGAATTGGTGGACATGCCAGTGACCACAGACTACAGGAAATATCCCACGGCAGAATGACATTTTGTCACTCCCGCATGCCACATAATGTAACAATGAAATGTGCACAAAGGCCAAATATGATTCCCCCACCCCAGTTGTCACTGTAGGCAATATACAAAAACATTTTCATGAATAAAAGGTTCTCAAAGACTGTTCTCATATGCAGATTTAATCATGTACACAGCCTTTACAAAGAAAATGGAGCCAGATGTGGTTTACCATTTATAGTTACACAGATGGCTCCAAGCATAGAGGAATACAGTAAATTCAAAAGGAATTCCTCATGAAACTCCAGTGGAATGTAATCCTAAAGTTAGAGGGAAGATAGCAGTGGGCTAAATTCAGATTGACTTATGCTGATTTACACTAGTATTTTGTGGGTTTGGAAAAACCAGGCTGCTAAATTGTTCTTAATTTAAACACATACAGCTTCTGATGTTTCTGCCAGATTAACTGTTGGTGATCTTTTTGCTGGTACTAATGCTATTGGAACACTACTGTTTCTAATTTTTGGCGTCTGATATAATGTATGGTTGTGCCTATTTCATCATGCTAATTTTTTTTCCGGCTAGTACATGTTTTTAATAATAAAAGACACACACACACACACACAGACACATATACACTCATATACATACAGTATATGTTTATATAATTTGACCAGACCCAGAAATTATATTTATTCTTTGTTTGTAAATAGAATAGAATGTTTTTTGCGTCATATTGAATGTTTATATTTTATGTAGAATTCATTTAAGGCTAGGTAATTGTACCTTTGATAAAAAAATTTTAAATATTAGTATATCAGATCCAAGCAATTTTAGGTTTCATTTCTGAATTAAGAGCATTTATAGAAGAAACAGATGTCATATTTAAAGAAACTTAGAGAATTCTATTTCAGTGGGGGGGGGTAATTTGGGCCATACCTGTCAGTGCTCAAGGCTTACTCCTGGCTTTGTGCTCAGGGATCACGCCTGACAGTGCTCAGGGGACCATATGCAGTTCCAGGGATCAAACTGGGGTCTGCTGCATGCAAGGCAAGTGCGTTTCCTCTCCAGACCCTCCATTTATTTTTTAAGGGTGAGATATAATTACAATAAAAACATTGAACACATAAAATGAATACAGAGTTTTGCTCTCTTGAAGTCTGTCAGAAAAGTATATAGATACAATGTCTCTCTATATATATGTGTATATCTACATACATATATATATTTAGGGCTGGAGCGATAGCACAGCGGGTAGGGCGTTCGCCTTACAAGCGGCCAACATGGCCGACCCGAGTTCGATTCCTCCGCCCCTCTCGGAGAACCCGGCAAGCTACCGAGAGTATTCGATATGCCAGACACAGTAACAACAAAGTCTCCAATGGAGACGTTACTGGGCCCGCTCGAGCAAATATATATTTAAGTAAAACCTAGAGGCTAAATGGAGACAAGATTAAGAGCAATTTTTAATAACAAGTTAACTTCTTAATCTGTACAAAAACAGACTTTGTACAAATATATTTCATTGACTGGTTTTTAAGTAAGAAGAAAAGTCAAAGCTGGTGACCATTCATTCTGTCATAGCAAGCTTCACAGATAATAGTTTTCTGCTGAAAACCGATCAGGATCATTTTTTTTTCCCTAAATCCTGGCTATCCCCTGGGCAGCTTTATGAAAATCTGGGTTCCTATGCCCCAGCAGGACCTTCATTTTCCAGTTTTCCTTGATGCTTTTAGTACAGATAGCCCCACATCAGCCTGAGAACCTCTGGCCTGAATGAATATGTAAATATAAACTTTCTTGCACTGAATTGTTTTCCCAAGGCGTTCTTCGAATGTGCTGGGTCTTTGATTGCCATTGTTATCATTTAACTATAGTTTAAATGATAGCACTTTTATTGTGGAAGAGTAATCTATCTTTTTTCCTCGTTATCAGGGTTTCCTCACTGGGCTTTCACCCCAATCATATGTTACAAGTAAAACTGTTTTTCTGCCTGATGCTTTTGAGGGCTTTAGAACAAAAATTGCATTAGTGTCAGAATTGCCATCTTACGGTTCATTGTGCCATCATTTTGTGGCCAGGATCTTGTGAATTCATTATTATCCCAGGCTTGGGGCATTTAAAGATCAGGTGGAGAGCCTCTTTTCTCTGGAACTAAAAGGGTTTGTGTGTGGGAGAGAATGATTTTGTTCGATGTCAATTGCTGAGGTTTGGAATTGTGGATTCCTCTGGAGTATGTACAGTATCTGAATTCCTTTACTAGTCCCACAAAAGCTGCGCACTGCCAACTTTTCTGACTTTAGAGCTCTAAATTAAGGCCAGTTCCTTTGCTCATCCCACAAACTCTTTCATGTTCCCTAACCGCAGCCTGAGAAAGGCGCCTTGGTTTCAACAGCAGCAGACCAGCATATGTTTACTTAATTCCTAAGACATGATGACAGTGGTCTTTGTGCCACTAAAAGCTTTTCTCTTTATTATTTTCGGTCGAAGCTGATCTCCAAGCTTTCCCTGCTTGTCACGTGTGTTTTGCAGTGCCTTCAGTGCTGCCCATGAGGAGCAATGGAAGTTAAAGGAACAGCAGCTGAAAGTGCAGGTCGCCCAGCTCGAGACTGCCCTAAAGTCTGACCTCACCGACAAAACTGAAATCCTTGACAGATTAAAAACCGAAAGAGGTACATGTCCAGTGACTGCCGACTTATTTCTCTTCGACATCTGTGTTGTTCACTGTTATTCACTGACTCAGTCAGTACTTTCCTGCCGGCTGCTCGATTTGTTTCCCCAGGTTTCTTGCTATCTATAGGAAATTTGGTCTATAAGAACTGGTTACTTAAAGGTTCCTTTTACCTCCCATTATATATATATATATATATATATATATATATATCTCAAAGGAATAATGTTTCCCACAGACTCTCTCGCTCTCTTTCTCTCTCTCTCTTTCTTTCTCTCTCTCTCCCCCCCTTCTTTCTCGCCCCCCCCCACCCGTTTCCCCTTTTCTTTTTTCCCATTGTTCTGGGGGAGCAATACCCAGTAGTGTTGGGTGCCCAGGGTCATTCCCAGCCCGGGGGGGGGGGGGGGGGGGGGGTGGGAACCCATGTGGTGCAGGGGAATCCAACCCAGGGCCTCACAGGCAAAAGGCATCTGCTCTACCATTTGATCCACTTTGCTGACCCTAAATTGTCTTTAATTTTCTTTCATTTTCTGGCATTTGGATCCTTTCTTCTAAGAGTCGGCAAGTTTTGTTGAGCACCAGTATTTGCTAGGCAGAAATAAAGCAAATGCCTTTCCCTCATTTAGCTGAAATTCCATAGGGAGAAACTGAAAGCAATTAAATAAATATATAATGATTTGGAAAAAAAAAAAGCCTGGTAGTGTGATGCCAACAAAATCCAGCAGTGTAGACAGGAGAGATAGCAGAAGTCATTGCTTGTTAAAAACAGGGAGGTCAATCAGGGACAATGTTTTTGTCTGAGAAGATGTCTACTTCTGCTCTGGGACAAAGCACTTACATGCCAGAAAGCCTTGTTAAGGTATCCTTGCTAAATTACTGAGCATTAATAAGTTTCATGTTATGGATCATGTCTTACCCCTTTTGTGTCATAAAGGCATAATAATTATAATGAAAGTTGATCCCTGGTATCATGTCCGCATACAAATACACTCAGAGAAAATAAATTATTTGTTTCAAACATATCTATATGCTTGTCTACTAGATACGTCAAGTAATATTTTAATAAGGTTTCTCCTTTTGAACATTTTTCAGTTTTTCAACATTGGCAGTAGCATGTTTATAAAGATTTTAGTGTTTATATAGATTTAATGCATGTTTATAAAGATTTAATGCAGACTTAATAACAAAATGTTTTCTAATAGTCAGCGCTCTACATATTTAGATCACATTGTTATATTTTTTAACTATTTCCTTTTTCTCATTTTAATATCTCTGAACTGTCATGCATCTTATAAGGGATAACGTTTCAGAATTATGGTCTAACTTTACTTAATTTTTAACATCTAGAAAGTCTGAAACATGACATTTCTTTTAGTCAGTGGAGTCTTAGTTGCATTGATGCATGAGTGCATATATTTGTTCACCAGTTGATTCAATTTGATAACAGAAGATTTGTGAATTGTTTTTCTAGAAGATTGTAAGTTAAGTAAAAGGATGACATGGTTTTTCTGACAAAATGAGTATTTTAAAGTTTCCGTATCCTAAACACATTTTAGAGTCTAATTTTAATGTGTCGTATTCTGTACCTAAGAGTGTGTTTATTTAATAGTTGCTCAATAAATTATTGTTTGTGGAAGTGAAATGTTCAGTAATAGCTTTTTTCAAAAAAGAAAACTGATATAAATTGCTCATTTTTAGAGGAAAATGAAATAAACCCTTCTTATTTCTTTGCTTTCTGTATTTCCTGGATGTCAAGAATTCCAAAAACTCAGATATCTTTAAACATCTAAATTTGTCTCTGAAAAGAAACTTACTCAGGATAGAATCTTGGTTGTCTTTTTTAAAATCCCTGTTTATTGTTGAATTAATTCTGAGGATTATTTTAAATTATTAAGAGCAGTAGTGCTTGGATTTTATTCAACTAGTCCATTCCTCATCTTTTTTACTGTTTTTACTTTTTTATTGTTTTTACTTTTTTATTGTTTTTCAGATTTTTTGACTACCTCACACACACTATAAAAAAGTTCAGTAAAAAAAAAATTATTCTAAAAATTCACCCAATATAATCACTGTTTTTATATGTGATGTTCCAGTTATTTCTCAATATTTAGATAGTGTGACATTTTAATTTACTATATTGTAAAATCATCCTTTGATCATAAATATAAGTACTTATCATTATAATTTATAGTGACTGTCACCGTTTCCAGTGTGAGAAAGCATCATTGATTGTTTAACAATATATTGAAGGATTTTTAAATAGCTTTATTTTTAAGTATTATAAACATCTTTATGCCAATTATTTCATATCTATCCAATTATTTTCTTAAGAAAACTGAATATCTTTCAATGGTGCTATTACTTGTTCTCTTTGCTTGAGTTCTCAAAATTTAGAGGTCTGATGGTCTCAAGTTTTATTTCTTTGCAAAAATAGAACAATAGGAAAAATATAACCTTCACCCTTTTTTCCCTGGAAATGTTAAACAAAATATTTAAATTATTTAATTAGGGAAATCTTTTAGTATTTAGAAGTTTCTTTTTGTGTTACAGATTTCTGAAATTGTTTAATTTTACTTTGAAGTCTCCTTACACATTTACCTTTTCATGTATCAAATAAATGTTCTTTGCCACAAGATGTTTCCCTGGCTTCTTGTAGTCATTCATCTAACTGGCAAATTATTTTTAGAGAATACTCACCTCTTTATTCAAGGTACAAATTAGTTTCAGATTGTGTGAATATGTGGGGGAAGAATATGTAAATGCAGTTTGCATTTGGTTAATGCTTAAATTAACTGCATGTGTTTAAGGGCTCGCTTTTGAAAGTTCCTTTCTATCTTTAACTGAAATGCATAATTCAGCATAATGCATATGGTTATATTGATCACAGCTGAAGATATTAACACAAAGGAGCTCTGAAAATTGTTTAGATGAATTGTTCTCCGCACTCTCTTATTAATGGTGTGCTTGAAGAACATAATTTTTAAAGAGTGAAATGTTATATCATTTGAATAAAATGCTGTTTAGCTTAACCTGCTTTTTGTCAGATCATAAGGTAAGGAGGTTATTTTTCATCTTGTACAGAGTGCTTTGATATTTCATATTATAATTCAGCGACTGCATTTTCTCTTTGAACCTCTGGTGTCTCTGCGTACGTTTTAAAAGACCCAAGACTTTTATTCCCAATAAGCAGTTTAAGAAAGGAAAAACATAATGGATAATTCTACATAAAATTCAGTAGAAAATATTTAGTGATATCTTCTCCCACTAGTGTTATCTTCCCACTAATAATACTTGAAATGGAAAAATCTCAGTGAAACAGGAACATAGTTGTGGAAACAAAGTTCAGTGTAGGAAGAAACATGAGTCAGTTCATACGTACTGCGTGTAATTCTTGGTACTCTGCTTTGAAAGACTGAAACAGGAAAATTGAGTATAGAGATCGTGAAAATCCTCTGTGTGGGTGAAGAAGGGCAGTGGTGTCTTTTACACTGTAGCTAACCCTCAGAAATCAACCCTGAAAGTTTTGCTGCCTAGAGAATGAAATTACATTTTCTCTGGTTGTACGTTTTGTTTTACAACTTAATCATTCCATCTAGATGTTTCCATCATTCCACCTGGTCAATATAAAGGGTTTTATATTCTTCTCCTGCTCTAGTCAAGGCAAGTTTATCTTGTAAAAATTTATATTTAATGTTAATTCTAATTTTAGTTTAAATGCAAGTGTTTTTATGTGAACTTGATAACCACTGTTCCCATTTGAAAATTCTTTTATGCATTCACTTGTATATTAGGTGACAACCTTTTCGTCATACAAAAGTATGATAAAATGCTTATGCAATATTAAATAGATATATATGCAAGGATCATAATTTTTTAGTTTTAGCTTGCTAGAAAATGTGCGAGATTAAATACACCCAGATTTAGTCAATTTTTCCTAACTTTAATTTACAACTTTTACTTAAATGTAGAAATTACTGCTTGGGAACTAAGTAGTACAAAAGTCAAACATTTTTGTATGAAATTTTTATTGTAAATTAATTCATATATGTATATAGTTCTTGGCAAATGTCTTGATTATGTTTTGTTAAGAAAAGGAAACAAAAATGTGCAACTTGAATGGAGGACTTCCGCTAAATATACATCTTGGAGAGTAGGGTGAGATGGATGGATGGAGACGCTGGTTACCGTGGCTGAGAATTAGTCCACAGAGATCCAGGATATGATTCTTGGCCACAATAAGCTACAGCGAAGAATACATTTAGGAACATGAGGCTGAAGAATAAATTTGCTGACTGTTATGCTTTTTTTTCTAAGTTAACATATTTAATGCAGGGAATGAACATTTAATTTTTTTTATGAATGTACTATAATCTGTAGATCTATTCTTCTGCTTGTTTGTGGGTCATGGTGAATGGGCATCTAGACAAATATAACCTATCTCTTTTCCTTCATTATAGATCTGAGCTCATGTCTAAATTCATACTTAGAAATAGCATGAACCTAATGAATAAAGAACATACATGGATTATTATTAATAAGACTATGTACTATTTGAGAATTCATTTCTCCTATCAGATTGGTCTAAAGTGTGGTTGCTGGATTCAGTTATTAACAGAGGGACTCTTGTTTTTAATAAAAATGGCCATTTAACTGGGAAAAGAAAGTTCACCAAAATCAATTAAAACAAACTAAAAGTCTAAAATTTTTTTGCATGCTTTTCAGGACCCTTATTAAGTAAGTAAAAAATCATAAATTTGGAAGCATATTTTCTTAGGTATTTTAGATAGAGTGGTCCTTTGAAGCCCCAGAGGCCACAATTTCCTTTATTAATACCGTGAACATAAGTCTTAAGTTTTTGATAAGCAAGTGAATCATATGGTAGACACATGAGAGTTCATTTGTTCCTCATTCCGTGCTGCCTTTTTCTAGGTGCTAGCTCAATTTCCTTTCTTACCAGAATAATACTAGATAAGGTTTGGTATGTATCAGGAATTAAAATTCATTTAAAATAAGTCTTTATGTCTCGTGCCCACTTACCTTGCTAATTGTGTTGGCTTTATTTTTAAGACCAGAATGAAAAACTTGTTCAGGAAAATAGAGAACTACAGTTACAGTGTCTTGAACAGAAGCAACAACTTGATGAACTTAAAAACCGCATGAAGTTTTACAACCAGGTGAACCAATTGTTTGTGCTTATTTAAGACAAGAACAGTAATGCAAAAGACTTTATTTTCACTCCTCGGGTCTTTTTAATTCATGACTTCGGCAGTGTGTATTTCATGAGGGGACTTTGAATAGTCGAAATGTCTCTTTTATTTAAGTTTATATAATAAAATGCATGGTATCAAACAGTTTCTGTTTCTTGTGGATAATCTGCATACTCTGTTGAAATGTCTCTTATAGTTCCCATTAGTATCTCACTGTAAGCTTTTACATACTCTTTCTTTTGCAGGAGAGTGATATTAATGCTGATGAGTTGAGTGAAGCTCTCCTGCTTATAAAGGTAACTTTCTGAACTTCACCATGAATTTCATGTCTACATACAACTATTTCAGCATAATGATGATCCTGATCTGTAACCCTTATACTTGGAGAATGAATTATTCAGAAGTGTGGTCAAGTGACATTTAGTTACAGTGTGTACATATTTCATAATGACATCAAAATTATGTTAAAATAGACCTCAAGGCTTCTTGTTCAAAGCACTTTTCCAACTGTAACAAACATTTCATTTGTACATGGCTCACATAAAATCAGTTTGTTTTCTTAAAAGAGCTAAGTGTACCCTACTATTTAAAGTAAAATATTGAATATATTGAATATACTTATCAACTCTAGAATATGCTATTAATTACAGGAAAATACATTCCTTTCCTTTTAGATCATCACAGTGTGTATTTTAATCAAAAGAAGAAATTGAAATAACTCTCATTTGTATTTATCTGTAATTAGAAACCAGAGTGATAAAACAGCGAGCAGGGTACTTGCCTTGTACATGTTCGACCCGGGTTCAGTCCCCCACAACCCATCTGGCCCCACAAGTCTGCCAGCAGTGAGCCCTAGCTGAGTATGGGCCAAAAACAAACAAAAACATTATTTATCTGTAATTATTCCAAATACTAATTCCAATGTATTTTCTATATCAGGGCTGCTTTTATTTCTAATAAAGAAAAATGAAAATATTTGTTTTTAATTCATTATTGTCCCACTCTGTATCTGTATTAATCCATATTATTATAGCTCTTATACTTAGTTCAGTAATAAAATACGTTTTTATTTTAGGCCCAAAAAGCACAAAAAAATGGAGACCTTTCCTTCCTAGAGACAATAGACAGTAAAATTATTAAAGACCGAGAGCACAGCATGAGAGAACTGCAAGCAACTCACGCAGAGACAATACAGGAACTCGAAAAGACAAGGAACATGCTGATTATGCAACATAAAATTAATAAAGATTATCAGGTAATACAGCACACTAAATTGGGAGGATAGGTGTCTGATCATGTTCTTCAAGATTCCAAGAAGGGCCGTGTACTATCAGCTGTGATAATCTGTTGTCATGTATTACCACATGCATGGAATTTAGCCTTGTAGTTAGGTAATTGCAATAAATAGCTTAAAAACAAAGAATTTCTTTTTAGTTGAGGTTTTAGTGCACTCACCTTGATTAGTGTTAGCACATTCTAGTAAACGTATGAAATAAAACTAAAAGAGTGTTAGTTTCCTGAAGCCTACCACAGCCATTTATTGTAACAGGAAAATTACCTCCCTAAAAAGGCAACAATTTTGTCTATTTTTACTGATGATTTATGAACTTTGCCAAGAGTATGAGTATTTTACTAAACTGAGCGTTCTAAGGTCAGGGAGTCATGGGTCAGAGCTCCTGAAATCCCCAAAATCTGGCAAATGCTTAAATCATAACTCTTTATAAAATGAAAATGGAACTTAATCAAAAGTATTGAAATGCATCTTTTATTTCTAGATGGAAGTTGAGGCGGTGACCCAGAAGATGGAAAATTTGCAGCAAGATTATGAACTCAAAGTAGAACAATATGTTCATCTTCTCGATATTAGGGCTGCACGCATCCAGAAACTAGAAGGTATAATATGCACGATTCTTTGTCCACAGTTACTGGAAGAATAGATTTTATCACAGTTGAAATTGTCATCCAACTCTACACTCAGGATTTCTTTGTGGTCTGCTCTTTCCCAATTCTTAACTGTGATACTAATGGACTAGAAAGACGGGTTTTATCTGATTCTTGTTCTATTCAAGAATTTTTAGTAATTCCCTACTGCTTTTTGAATTAAATGCTGTAGACAGGGCTTCAAAGTACTTCATAAAGCCCCACAAGCTAAATTTCCACCTCATTTCTAATTTCTTTTCTTGGTAAGCTATGTATCTCAGCCCAACACGTCTGTTAGATTTTCCTTACTCATTTCTACCAGTGAATCTTTGTGTATTACACCTGAAACTCTTTTTCTGTGCTTACTTCACGATGTACCTTCCTCTGCTTAGAAATCTCAGTGCACCCAGTGCCAGAAAGCTGGCTCTGATTATTCCTAGTCAATTTTGTACTTGGAATGCCCTTGCAGTGGTTTCCAGACTTAAACAAGTATGAGAATTGTGTAGGGAACTTCTTTTAAATGTAGCTTTCCAGGTCCTACCCCTAAAGATGTTAGAGCCCATGATTGTGTATATTTAGAAATAACTCCAAGCAATTCAGATGCAGGTACATGACTAGACTTTGAGAAACACTACTTAACAAATTTTCTTAATGTGCTCAGCAAAAGATGTTTGGGAATTATAGAAGTTCCTTATTGTTAGTTTTGCTTTCTCCCTGTGACTGCAATGTAAGTTCTGCAGTAAGTATCTGAACTCCCTTTCCTGACCCTGCCATACTCCAAATGCTTAATTCAGTAATCCATGCCAGCAGTAATTTCACACTCCTAAAATTTACTGAAGATCTCAAATGCCATTTATTAAAACGTGATCTACTTATGATACCACATTAAAAGTTAAAAGTGAGAATTTTCTAATATTTTTAGAAATGCTAAATGATATTATTAAGCCCATAACATGGTTATCATAAATTAAGTTTCAGTTTTTAAATAGAGTCTCACAGCCCCCGGGACCCCCATGTCCACTCCCAGCGATTCTCAGCATGGCAGTACATACCTCATAGTCCATTGCTTGGGCCTGGAAGTATGGCACTCAAACTCAAGAGTGTTTCGGGACTACCAGAGCCACACCTGGCAATCAGAGAGAAGCATAAGAACTCGTGGTCCCAGGGATCAAATTTGGAGCCTCACACACGTAAATCATATGATCTACCACGTGTGAGCTCTCTCCCAGGCCTATAGTATTTATTCATTTTTTAAACTGTTTCCCATAGCCCCCCTTCCCAAAAAAGTGACATTGTTTTGATTTTTTTAATTGTTTGAAATTCCTGCAAATCTTTTGAGTATCTAGCTTAATAGAAAACAGCTGGGATTTTCAGTCTGCTGTATTCCGTCTGTTGTGATATCACACACCATGGAGATTTCCTGCAAACTCCATTATACACTTTAGAGAAAATAAGAATGATAAAATAAAGTCATATCTTGGTATTATTTTTTAAATAGTTTTGACTGTCCAGACCTCAAAACAATATCAGGGGTCCTCAGCTGTTCCCCTAATACACTTTGAGGACATCTGCTCTCAGTCGAAGAGCTCCATAAATATCCTTATCCAACTGAAGAGAATTTTCCAAAAGTCAGAGAGCAGTATGTACCTTTTATTTCAAGTAGTACCCAATAAAAATTTGCTTAATGTGATTTTCCTGAATAAAAGGGAGGTCACAGTCTTTGGGGTTTCCATTCCTTTCATCTTAGAAAATCTTCACCGGCATATTTTTAGTTGTACCCTTAATTTATTGATTATGATCATGACCAAGCCCTAAATATAAACTAAGCACAGTGCTAGGTAGTGAGAATACAAACACAATGCTCAAGGAACTCATAGAATATGAAGTAGCAAAGAGCTTTACTACTTGACCATAGAATTCATGAAGGCAGGACAGTACAGGAGATACCAAGGCAACACTGAGGAGGAATTATATATCCCTGGAATAAATAGATAGATTAGATTAGATAGATAGATAGATAGATAGATAGATAGATAGATAGATAGATAGGATCCTGCAGAGATGACATCATTCACCACTGACCATAAGCAATAAAAAGCATTTCAAGGACCAGATAGAGCCATAGTACAGTGGGTAGGGCATTTCCTTGCATGGGCCAACCTGGGTTCAATCCCTGGCATCCCATATGGTCCCCAAGTACCGCCAGGAGTTAGTTTCAAGGAGTAGGTGGGGTAAACGTACTCTAAGTGCAGGCCAATGAGGTGTAGCTCAAGGGCAGAGTCCCTAACTTTCACCCCCAGCACAGCATGGCCCTGGGAGCACGATTGGGGAGTGGCTCCTTACTTAAAAAATTTAAAAATCCCTATACATCAAGTACTGCTGTCTGTTTTTAAAAAATACATAGGGATCCAGCTAACTGGAATTTGGGATTAATAAAGGAAATGAATCTAGATGCAAAGGTAGAAAGAATAAAGTAATAACTACTATTTGGCACTCTGAAGAAACTGGGCTTAGTTACAAAGAAAAATTTTCCCCCTTTTTTATTGAATCACCATAAGATATACAGTCACAAAGTTGCTCATGATCGGGTTTCATTCATACAATGTTCCAACACCCATCCATTCGCCAGTGTACATTTCCGGCCACCAATGTCCCCAGTTGCCCTCCTTCCACCCCTCTCTTTCCCCCCCAGCCTGCCTCTTACAAAGAAATTTTTTTTTCCTTTTTGGGTCACACCCAGCAATGCCCAGGGGTTACTCCTGGCTTTGCACTCTGGAATTACTCCTGGCAGTGCTCAGGGGACCATATGGGATGCCGGGGATCAAAGAAATTTTTAAGGTAGAATTAACATATTCAGAACTGCATTTTTGAAGTTTTGTTGGGTGAAGTAGCTGTTAGATAAGAATGAATAAGATTTGGAGGAAAAGAGCTGTTGAGTTCCATGACCTAAGGGGTAAAACTGGGAGAGCAAGTCAGGTAGCACCAGTGGAGACAGAGAGGGACGAAGTCAATAAAGACTTACTAGGATGAGTAGGATGACTCTATGGCATTTCATGTATATTTAACTGAATGAATAATGACATTGTCTGACTTTAGCTTCAAAGCAGAGAAATACTAACATATGACACATACTATTTGGAATTTATTGATTTTGGTATGCCTTGGGGATATTGGGTTAGAGGAAGTAGCAAGCCATGATACACAGGCCATTATAAAGGAAAGAAATCTTAACTAGAAATAGAAATGTGAGGGTCTTCAACATAATAATAGTAACAGATCAAGAAAGGGAATGAGGGGCTGGAGCAATAGCACAGCTGGTAGGGTGTTTGCCTTGCACGCAGCTGACCCAGGTTCGATTCCCAGAATTCCATATGGTCCCCTGAGCACCAGCAGGAGTAATTCCTGAGTGCATGAGTCAGGAGTAACCCCTGTGCATCGCCGGGTGTGACCCAAAAAGAAAGAAAAGGAATGAGATTGCTCCTTAGGATATAGAGATTAAGAAAAGGATCAAAAACAGGACCCCAGACACCAGAGAGATAGTGCAGAAGGTAAGGGGAATACCTGGCCTACAGCTAATCCTGGGTCAATCCCAAGAACCACACAGTCTCCAGAGCATTACTGGGTGTGGCCCTGGAGGCTTCCAAAGCACATTTGGAATAGTCTGAATGAAAGCAAATTTTTTGAACAAGCAGAGGTGTAGGATATAGATGTGGGCCTACAGAGGTGGCAGAGGTTGAGTGTAGAAGCTCTCAGGAACCAGATGGAAGGGAAGGGAATCTGCTACCATTTCTAAAAACGCCCTGAGTGTACCAGCCAGGTGGTCAACCTCATCTGGAGAATGGAAAAGCAAGCAGAGGGTCTAGGTGTATGTCAGCCTACAGTGGTGGCAGAACTAGAGTATATTCTTATTTACAGAAAAACATGTAGTCATAGAATTTAAGAGAGGCTATTCGTCAGGCTCTGTACCACTTCAGAAGTGATTTTGATCTTCATATGTCAATATTGGAAAAAGTCTATAAATTGTATTTTCTCTTGCAGCCCAGTTAAAGGATATTGCCTATGGCACCAAGCAATACAAATTTAAACCAGAAATTATGCCAGATGACTCTGTTGATGAATTTGATGAATCCATTCATTTAGAACGAGGAGAAAACCTATTTGAAATCCATATCAGCAAAGTAACCTTTTCATCAGAAGTTTTTCAGACCTCCGGGGATAAAGAACTTGTCACTTTCTGTACCTATGCTTTCTATGATTTTGAGCTTCAGACATCTCCTATAGTGCGAGGCCTTCAACCAGAATATAACTTCACTTCTCAGTATCTCATTCATGTTGATGATCTATTTTTACAATACATCCAGAAGAATACTATCACCCTTGAGGTACACCAAGCTTACAGCACAGATTATGAAACAATTGCAGCATGTCAACTGAAGTTCCATGAAATTCTAGAAAAAAGTGGTAGAATATTTTGTACAGCAAGTTTGGTGGGTAAGTATTATTTCATAAGCTTTGTATATTAGAAATCCAATGTGCTATTCATCGCGCCATGGAGCCATCTATAAACTTTGAATCTTGAAGTCACTAATTTGTCTACAAATTAATATGATAGCACAGCGGTAGGGCGTTTGCCTTGCACGCAGCCAACATGGCCGACCCAAGTTCGATTCCTCTGCCCCTCTCGGAGAGCCCGGCAAGCTACCGAGAGTATCTCGCCCACAGGGCAGAGCCTGGCAAGCTCCCCGTGACGTATTCGATATGCCAAACACAGTAACAACAAAGTCTCCAATGGAGACGTTACTGGGCCCGCTCGAGCAAATCGAAGATCAACGGGAGGGCCTTTACTTACTTATTAATATGATGTTCCATAGCAGTAGTTTCCCTTACAGATTCAAGGTGCCTTTAGGTTACTACATCATTCTCTGATTTAGTACTCACAGCTGTACTATCTTAACTGTCATTAATGGTTGTCTGTACAATAACCACTTTTTTGTTTTGGATGGAGAAAGAGCTCTAATGGCAACTTGACAAACTCATGTCCTCAAGTTACCCTCTCTTCATGATCACAGGAAGGGGGTTGAATTGTTACTCTTTAAAAAGGATCAAGGGTAGGTTCCCAACCCCCACCAGGAGTTGTCCCTCAGCACAGAGCCCGGAGTAAGCCCTGAGCACCTTCAGGTATGGCCCAAAAATCAAAAAGTAAATGAATAAATAAAAGGTCATGAATGACATCACATTTTTCACATATAGTCACAGTAACTCCTTGGTATAGGCTCTTGTTATGAATGTGATCTTTCTTTTCTGCACTTTGTATAGAGGCACTGTGATTTCTGTCACTGTCACTGTCCTCCCGTTGTTCATGGATTTGCTCGAGCGGGCCCAGTAATGTCTCCATTGGAGACTTTGTTGTTACTGTGTCTGTTAATAATCGAGTTTAGGCATGCAGTGTTCCTACACCACAACCACCACCAGAGTATCAGTGTCCCTTCACTAATGTCTCAGGTACTTGTTTGTTTGGGGACCACACCCAAAAATGCTTGGGGTTTATTTCTGTCTCTGTGTTCAGGATTCACTCAGGATTGAACTCACATCAGCAAGTGCCTCATTTGCTGTACTCTGCAGCTCTTCAGCAACTTTATTTAAAAAAAAAATCTTACAAGTGCTAATGTTTTCTTGTTTGATTGGAGGTTTTCTGGGTGTTTTTTGGGGGGGAGCGGGGGTGGTGTTGCGGGGAAGCACACCCGGCAGTGTTCGGGGCTTACTCCTGACTCTGCATTTAGGGATCACTCCAGATGCATCTCAGGAGACCACAGATCGTACTAAAGACCAAACTCAGGTCTGCTGTATGCAAGGCATGTTGCCTACCTGCTGTGACCCTAGTGCTAATGTTTATTTACCAAATTGATGCCCTTATTTGATTAAATATATGGATATGAACTTATAAATCATCAGACATGAATAAAATTGTCAGGGTAAAAGAAAAATGAAAGATCACTCAGCTGCAGAGTTAGCTCAAGGTGTGGAGCACATGTAGGAGTCCAGGGTCAAGGCTGGCCCTGCATGGTCCTTTGAGCACTACCATGAGAGATTCCCCAAGACCAGAGCCAGCAGTAGCTCCTGAGCACCACTGTGCAGCCCGTAATCCAGAATTAAATAATAAAAAAAAAAGACAGAATTCTCTGTGAAGATTTATCTGCCTATAAGTGGATAGCCAAATGGCGATATTATAAGCAGTCAGATACCTAATTTCAAAGTCAGGATAGATGGGGCTGGTGCAATAGCACAGCGGGTAGGGCATTTTCCTTGCACGCGGCCAACCCGGATTTGATCCCCAGCATCCCATATCATCCCCTGAGCACCGCCAGGAGTAATTTCTGAGTGCAGAGCCAGGAGTAACCCCTGTGCAATGCCGAGTGGGACCCAGAAAGCAAAAAAAAAAAAAAAGTCAGGATAGAGAAAACATGGTGATTATTAGCATCTTGACTATGTTTTAAGCCTTTGACCTAGATATTTCATTGAGAGTGAATGTAAATAAAGAAGAGAAGATGGCCAAGGACTGAGCATTGAGAAAAAAAAATTTTTTTAATAGCTTAAAAGAAGATCTAGCAAAGCTGACTGAGAAATGGCCAGTGAAGTAGGAGGCAGACGAGTGTTTACTGCGTTGGAGGCCTAGTGAAAGAGCCATTTCCAGAATTGAGAATGGCTTAAGTACTGGAGGAGGCTTTTATTGTCGAAATTGATTGCTTTACATAATTGATGTTTTCTTGCATTTCAAGAAGTTACAGAAGTTTATACTGTAAAATGTCTGTCTTCCAGCCCTGTCATCTGGCTACCCCGAGTTCACTCATCAGAACCTTCAAATTCTTCCAAGTCATTTTATGCATGTACTAGCAGATGACAGATTTGGATCATGCTTGTATGTTGAGGAAAATGGTCCATTAGCAAGAAAGAAATTGATGATGTAGGAGAGAATATGGGTAATAATTTCAACAATATGGTATTTTCCAGAAATTTTATATATAAAGTCTTCTCTGTCCTGTCCTGTCCTCCCGTTGTTCATCAATTTGCTCGAGCAGGCCCAGTAACGTCTCCGTTTTGAGACTTGTTGTTACTGTGTTTGGCATATTGAATACGTCACAGGTAGCTTGCCAGGCTTGCCGTGCGGGCGAGATACTCTCGGTAGCTTGCCGGGCTCTCCGAGAGGGGTGGAGGAGTGATAGCACAGCGGTAGGGCGTTTGCCTTGCACTCAGCCAACATGGCCGACCCGAGTTTGATTCCTCTGCCCCTCTCGGAGAGCCCAGCAAGCTACCAAGAGTATCTCGCCCTCACAGCAAAGCCTGGCAAGCTACCCGGGACGTATTCAATATGCCAAACACAGTAACAACAAAGTCTTAAAAAAATGGAGACATTACTGGACCCGCTCCAGTAATGAACAATGGGAGGACAGTGAAAGTTAATGAACAATGGGAGGACAGTGAAAGTCTTCTCTATTCAGCAAATATTGAGTACCCACTATGTCTTAGTCCTTCTAGTAAGATTAGATGGACTTAGATCTACTCTAAGATTAGATGGGTGGAAACCACTGACCTTGCCATCAAGAAACTTACATTGTGGAGAAACTGACTGATGAACAATTGTGCTGAAGTAGTCAGTGCTCTAAAGTGAACATGTTCTTTCCTCAAGTAAGCATAGAGTTCTAAATTCTCTTCAGTTGTGGAAGAAAAGAGATGAAGAGCCATCTGGGCTAGAGGGTGTAATTGAGGATGTATCATGTAAGAGTACAGTGGGTAGGGTGTTTGCCTTGCATGCAATCAACACAAGTTTCACCCCATATGATCCCTGAGCCCTGCAAACAGCCAGCAGTGATCCCTGAGCACAGAGCCAGGAGTAAGCCCCAAGTACTATGAGGTGTGCCCCAAAAGCACACAAACAAAAATCGGAAGTATGGGGCTGGAGCAATAGCACAGCCTGTAGGGCATTTGCCTTGCACACGGCCGACCTGGATTCGATTTCCAGCATCCCAGATTGTTCCTGAGCACCATCAGGAGTAACCACTGTGCATCACTGTGTTTGACCCAAAAAAACAAAAAAAAAGCATATACATCATAGATTTGGCATCGCCGTGCCTTTTTTTTTTTTTTTGTATATATGTTTTTGGCTTCATTCGTGGCCGCATGACCTCTTACTGTCTAGTTCTCGCTCTCGGAGAACCTGGCGGGCTACCGAGAGTATCCTACCCAAACGGCAGAGTCCAGCAAGCTTTCCATGGCGTATTCGATATACCAAAACCCAGTAACAATGATGGGTCTCATTCCCCTGACCCTGAAAGAGCCTTCAATGTAACACTTGCTAAAATCTCAGGGCTAGGACGAATGGAGACGTTACTTATGCCTGCTCGAGGAAATCGTTGAACAACGGGATGACAGTGATACAGTGGTATATATGTGGCATGATAGACGTGTGGGAAGGTACAAAAGATTTCTTGAGGAAGTTGATTATAATATGGAATATAGACTACATGTGTTTATATATAATCACGGTCCTCGTCGATTTGCTAGAGCGACCCCAGTAATGTCTCCATCGTGAGACTTGTTGTTACTGTGTTTGGCATATTGAATACGTCATGGGTAGCTTGCCAGGCTTTGCCGTGCAGACGAGATACTCTCAGTAGCTTGCCGGGCTCTCCGAGAGGGGCGGAGGAATCGAACCCAACTCGGCTGGGCCGACTGCGCGCAAGGCAAATGCCCTACCACTGTGCTATCACTCCAGCCCAAAAAACAGTAAAAAATATTTTTTTATGTATAGTATGGAAATATAATTTTGAGTTTTTAAATTGCATGTGTCAGACAACATTGAGTACAGCTTTTAAAAAAATGTATATTAGGCAGGAGCGATAGTATAGTGGGTATGGCATTTGCCTTGCACTCAGCCAACCTGGTGTCAAACCTTAGCCCCATATTGTCTCCTGAGCCTGTCAGGAGTGATCCTTGAGGGCAGAGCCAGGAGTAAGCACTGCGCACTGCCAGTTGTGATCCAAACACCAAAGAAAAAATATATTGCACCACCAAAAAGAATCTATGATTTAGATTCTTACTGTTTAGATTTTTCTCTCAATTTCAGTATTGAAATTTCAGTAAGAAGTGGAGCCTCTCAGACATTACTTGACATGTCAGATTATAAAAAAACTTGGTTCTTTAATGATAGTCAATGAAGAGACCTCCAAGCACTAAACTAGGAGTAGACCCCTGAGCACCTCTGGGTGTGACCCAAAAATTAAAACAAACAAAAAGTAATAACAGTAAAATAGAGTGAAACACTAACAGAAGTAACTACCATCTCTGTTGTTTGCCAATCACTTATTTGTGCAAATCATGCATTTACATAACTTGATAGTTTTATGCTTAATAGTATTGGTATTTTTTGTACTGGTATGTATTTTTATTTACAAAACTACTTTAACAGTTAATTATGTATTTTTATGTATTTGATTTATAGGAACTAGAGGAGACATCTCCAAATTTGGCACAGTAGATTACTGGTTCCAATTGAGAGTTCCCATGGATCAAGCAATTCGACTTTATCGAGAACGGGCAAAAGCATTGGGATATATAACATCAAATTTTAAGGGACCAGAGAAAACACAAATGGTAAACTTGTTTGACTTTAGGACTCTTTTGTGACACTGAAATTTGATAATATTCCTTTATATGCCATGCTTTAAAATGATCGCATTCTTTATCCAGACCATCCAACGTGACTTTTTTTTCAACTTTTTATTCCTAAGTGTTGATTGTAGGAAGTAGCAAACTTATAGGAAGTATCAAAAATAATTCAGGAAAGTTCTGTGCACCCAACTAACTGATGTACTCCCAATTGATGTACAATAGTTAGATGATATCTTACATAATTATACTGCAACGTAAAAACCAAGAAATGGACAGTGCACAATACTGATCATGAGGTTATAGACGTTTTTCAGAATTTATAAGTTTTGACACCTGTGTGTGTAGATAGAAGAGGAGTTTCATTTTTTATTGTGTTTCCTAGTTGGGATTAATTTCTGTGACTTTTAATTAAAGAACTAAATAACACTGGTTCTTTAATTCAAGACAAAACTAACATTGATTCCCAAACTTCAGAAGGATTAGCACCTACTTCCTAGAGATCGTCTTTCTGGTCTAGTATTTTCAGAACACACTGTAGGAAAGGATGTATAGAAAAGGAAATTGAAAATGGAAAAGATTACTTAGTTTTGCAGCTAGAGGTTTAGACTCCCAGTTTCTGGCTTGAACAAGTAGTTTAATATCAGAGTTTCAGCTTCTGGGCTAGACTGTGAGGAAGAATTGCCTATTTTTTTATCATCCCTCTCAGCGCCTGCAGCTGAATGCACACTGACCCTGGAATAGCAGTATCCCGGTTTGCTTTCCACACACCACCAGATGTCTCCACTAAGGAGATGAGGACGAGGCTCGTACTTTTCCTTCTCAGAAACTTCTTCTGAGCTCTCCTCCTAGCTGTCTCAATACGGTGTTAGAAATTTCAGTGTGAAGGCGGACACAGGGTACTTTTGGAAAGAAGAGAATTACCCAACAATAATCTGCAGATAGCAGTGAAGCACTAATATTTCTTCACGCCAATTATAATAGGCTCAATTGTGCAGTTATTTGCAGTAAGATATTTATGTACTGGCTACCTAAATAGTAGTTTCAAAAGATCAGTTTCTTGTTCTGCCAAATAACTGCTTCATCTGAAATGTCCTCACATTTTCATCCCCTCCAAGTTAAATATCTGATTCTCTTCTCTTTTCCCTGTAGCAGTTAGGCTTTGATATACTGGCTAATCTTTGGCTCAGACATCTGCTTCCTCAGTCCCTCTTGGCTTAGAATGAGGAGCAACAAAATCTTCTTTATAGATGGGCCCCATCAAAGAACTTCAGGTTAACATAGTTCTTGATCTAATTTGATCTGAATGGCAAATTTCTACAGCCGTTTCTTCTATGTTTGTAGTCACACATGTTCTAGTGAATATTGGTTTTTAATCAGAATAAAACAAATGAAGTGTCACTTACTGATCAGTTCACCATGAAGCGAACATATGCAGCTTTTTCTTTAAATGAAATTTGAAGGCTGCTATTTATCTTTTTCTCTTTTCCTTTTTAGTTTTTTAATTTATTTTAATGTAAAAAAGTCATAACTGTGATTCAGTTAATACTAATTTTAGTATTAAAATCAGTTGTTAAAAAAACTTTCAATATATTAAAATCAAAAAATATAAAAAACAAAATTATTGTGAAAAGTGGTATATCTGATCACGAGGTTAAGTCCTTGTCTAAGAATTTATTAAGCTCTTTGTTGCTAATTGTGTCCTCTGTGTGAATGGGTTTTTTTTGTTGAGTTTAGTTGACTTCTATGTTACTCTCGCATCTGATTCGTGTACTTCTACGAGAATTTCAGTATTGAGGAATTAGGAGGCTTCTCGAGGCCCCATGTGCGACCCCATGATCCAGACACTTCAGGATCTATGATCTGGGCCAGTAATAGCAGCTGCTGCAGGAGGGGGATGTGGCTGCCGGGGCTTCCAGAACTATGGGAGGCAACTACTCACCCCGACTCCAAAGAACACCAGAGTTCTTAGCCTGAGTCCTGAACACCTAAGATTATTTGCAGTTTGGCATCTCTGCAAAGAGTATTTGTGAAGCAGTGGAGTTGAGCCCTTGACATGGCTGCAGTGGTGGAATGTGGGTGTGGCTTCCAGGGCTTGGGCAGGGCAGGTAGTGGCCCTCCCAAGGGCCCCCTGAAGTTTTCAGCTGCAGGGAACTGGTGAGTCCATAAATTTTAACACTGCTTGGCATGCATCCCCTGGGAGAATCAGTTGGGAATTGAAAGAGCAGGGCTGATGGGTGAATCAACATGGCAGCAGCTCTCTTTATCTTTTAACTGTACTATTACTGTGATGTAAATATGTATGTTTTTCCAGTTAAGCCGGCAAGCACCCAAAACTGCTGAGCCCAGTTCTTCCGAGTCCACAGATGGCAACTTAAACGAGCTTCATATTACAATAAAATGTTGCAGCAACCTGCAGTCCAGAGCAAGCCACCTTCAGCCACACCCATATGTTGTGTACAAGTTTTTTGATTTTACAGACCATGATACAACCATCATTCCCAGTAGCAATGATCCAGAGTTTGATGATCATATGTGTTACCCAGTGCCGATGACTATGGATTTGGACCGATACCTTAAGTCAGAGTCTCTGAGTTTTTATGTATTTGATGATAGTGATACCCAGGATAATATTTACATAGGAAAGGTCAATGTACCTCTGATTTCATTGGCACATGACAGGTGTATCTCAGGTAAGCCCATTTCTTGAACCTATGAAATTGTAAAAATGTTACATCTCAGGTGTCATATATTTAACTAGTTTTCCTAACCTTAGTTATCCTAAACATTAAGTCTATAGTGTTTTAAGATATTTTCTTTGTTGTTTTAGAAATTGAAATCTTAGTTTATTATTATATACCTAAAATTAGTGCTAACATCTCTATTAAAAATTTAACAGTCTGCTCCAAAACAAGTTTATTCCCCATCTTTTGTGCTTTTATGATTATATATGTAGCACTCTAGCACTGTCCTCCCATTGTTCATCGATTTGCTCGAGTGGGCCCAGTAACATCTCCATTGTGAGACTTGTTATTACTGTGTTTGGCATAATATATATATATATATATTTCTGTCATATATATGCCTCTGTAATAAACCCAGTAACAAAAATGTTATAATTACTGCTTTTTATAACTGTATGCCCTTTATAGAAGCTAAAAGAAGAAATAATTTAACTATCATAGATTTTATTAGCCATTACTAATATTCTTTATTTTTTCCTGTGGATTTGAGCTACTGCCTCACATCATTTTTTTACTCCAGAAAATAAATCACTTTCCTCCACTTCTCTGTGCTAACATCATGTATTCGTATATATTTTTATCTTAGATATACATATCTTGTAATATATTTTATGACTATTTTATGCAGATATTTTTTAATCAAGTAGAAGAAATGAGAAAATACATATACTGTGTTTTATAGAAACCTGTGTAATTACCTTTCTTGGTCTCCATTTCTTTGAGTTAGTTTGAGTTACCATCTGATAACACTTCCTTTCAGCTCTGAGACCCTCCTCTATTATGGCTTTTAAGTCAGGCCTGCCATCAGTGAATTCTCTCAGTCATTATTATCTGTCAGTGTCTTTGCTTTCATTTTTTGAAAGATAGTCTTACTGGATGATATTCCTATTCATCAGCTGATTTTTCTTTTTCTTTAAGCACTTTAATGCTACTCATTTCTGCCATTCATTATTTGGCAAGCACCTGGCAGTGCTCAGAGTTTACTCCTGGCTCTACACTCAAGACTGAGCCTTGGCAGGCTCAGGGGATTATATGTGGTACAGAGGATCAAACATGTGTCTGATGTGTGCAAGGCAAATGCCCTTACCCAAAGTCATGAATGCTCTGCCCTAAAGTATTCATTACTTTGCATCAGCAATTAGCCCTATTACGTAGTAAGTGTCTTTGTACTTGATGCTGACTTGATGCTGTTTTCAAGATTTATTTGTTTATTATCATTTTTGGTTTAAGAGCCACACACAGTGATGCTTAGGAGCTACTCCTGCCTCTGCCCTCAGAAATCACTCCTGACAGTGCTCACAGGACCATGTGGGGTGCCAAGGATTGAACCTGGGTCTGCCAAGTGCAAGGCAAGCGCCCTACCCACTGAACTATCTTCAGTTCATTATTTGTTCATTTTTCTTCTTTCAGTAGTTCGACCATGATGTGTCTAAGTATGGATCCAAACCACTGTACTTAACCCACTCAGAATTTGTTGAACATCTTCATGTGCCCTATATTGTTGAACACCAAAATTTGAGGAAGATTCTGCATTTATTTCAGTTTTTTCCTCCCTTTATCCCACTTCTTCAACTTCTGTTATACTTGTTCACCTGTTTACTGGTGACCCAGAGGTCCTCTGTACTGTCCTCTGGTTCTGCTCATTTTCCTTTGTTTTCACTCTTCACGACTGATCGCTCTTGATCAGTCTTCAGGTTCACTAATGCTTTTCTCTGTCATTCCAAATTTCCTATTGAGGCCCTCTTAAATTTTACATTTTCATTTCCTATTGAGGCCCTCTTAAATTTTTCATTTACTTTCCAGTTCCAGAATTTTCATTTGATTCTCTCTCTCCCTCTTAAACCACTTTTATCTCTTAACTATATTCTATTTTGTAAGTCATTGTCATACTTTCAGTTAATTCTTTTTGTTTTGGCGCCACACCAGTGGTACTTGGGACTTACTGCTGGGATCATTCCTGGTGATGCTAGTGGGACTATATGGAGTGCTGGGGGTCTAACCTGGGCCGGTCACATGCAAGGCAAGCGCCTACCCAGTGTACTATCTCTCAGGCCCCTTTCCTTTAATTCTTTAAATGCAGTTTCTTTTAGCTCTTTCAACATATTTGTAATAGCTTCCCTGAGGTATTTATCGACAAAGGCTAGCATCTGGATACCTGCAGAAAGTCCGTATCAGTAGTCTGTGCATGGACAGAAGCATACCCTTGTGCATCTTTGCCTGTCTCATAACATTTGTTCATTTAGAACTAGACATTAGGATACTATAATGTAGAAACATTGGGTTCTGACTGTCTCTAAGTTGTTTGGTGCCATTACTGAATTTATTATATAATCTGATTCTCTATCACCACTGATGTCTCTACTGTCTTTATTTGTTTGGTTCTCTTTTAAATGTTAGGCCAGGGACATTATGGTCAATTAGTTATTGGTCAATGATTGAGCTTTAACGTTGGTTGTTCTGCCACACTTTTCTTTTGGGTCAGTATCTGGGCTTGAATAATGAATTTAAAGATCAAGCCATCAACAAGTCTTACACTTAGCCAGAGACAAGTAATTTACTACAGTTTATTATAATTCCTACTATTTTTACTGAGACACCATGGACTTTTTTGCAAAATGCTTCTCAACTGGTATGCTTTGATCAATTTCCAAAGTCTTTAAGTGGTTGTTTTGGACCATTTTGTTCAATATTATCTTTTTTATTTTTAAGTAGGGGCCACACCCCTAGTGCTACTTCAGGGCCCCTGAGCCATTTTCAGAGATGCTCGGGACCAGCAAGGACTTGGAGGGGCAATGTAGTGCTGGGTGGGTGGGGGGAAATTTATAATTTGCAGGATCTTGTTGTACAGGAACCAAGCCCATGTTCACATACATACCAGGTATAAACTCTAACCACTGAGTAATACCCACAACCCTAGTATTACATTTTTTCCTTCTGTGTTGGGTTTTAAACCCAAATCTCGTGCATGCAAAGCATACACTTTACCACTGAGCCCTATTCCTGGCCCCCTATGATTACTTTTTGTGGGAAGGCTTACTGTGCTTTTTACTAAGTCATCAGGAAGTACTGCTCTGAGTTTATCAGTTCCCTATATACCACCTTCATACTTATTTTCTATCTAAAACATAAAGTTGTTGTGTTCCTTATTTCCTAATTAGCATTTAAAAGAAATATTATTCACTTGAGGAACTAGTTAAAGGACCCTAAACAAAAGTTATGCTTAATGTGTAGATTGTGTGTTTTTCAAGACAGGGATTTTTTTCATACTGTGAGAAATATATTGTAACAATTAAACTTTGTGAATCAATATTACTGATTATTTTTATTAGTGCTGTATTTTGGTCAGTGTGTTTCTTTTCATTTTGTCTCTGCTTTTATTAGATAGTAATTCAAGAAATCCCAGCAAAATACATTTGAAGTTATAGTAAAATTATCGAGTAATATAAAGACTCCTTTCAATATAAGTTATTTGAAATTCTGAAACATTAATGTAGTTTCTGGAGATGTCTTTTGCAAAAATATTCTAGCCAAAATGAATGTTGATAGTTAAGCTTTGACTCAGACCATGTAGTAGAGGAAGACTAAGAATTTTAAATAATCTCTAAATTTAATTTCAGTGAATTAAAATATTTATAAGTTAATTTTTTCACCTTTGAATGAGTATTATCTTGGAAGCCTTAACTTCTGAAAGAAATCTGATTGAGAGATAAAGCCATCGTTGTTCCTTTTATCTTTATTTTATTCTATAACTCATTTGAGTTGAGTAAAAGACACATTTGTTGTTGTTGTTGTTATTGTTACAAAGGTCACCCAACTGCTCAGGATTTACTCCAAAAATCTGGGCAGTGCTCAGGAGTTAGGCGGTGCCTGGGATCGAACCAGGACCTCCTCCATGCAAGGCATATGCTCTACCACCTTAAAGCACACTCCCAGCACCAAAGCCAGTTACCTTTAAAGTCATGGGTAGTTATCTTTGTTGCTTCTTCATTTAAACAGCAATGACACTTCACTCTAACATTAATCAAAATGATTTGTGTAATTTGACAGGGATATTTGAGTTAACAGATCAGAAAACACGTCCTGCAGGAGCCATCCATGTCATATTGAAATGGAAATTTGCTTACCTACCTCCAAGTGGATCCATCCTAACCGAAGACTTAGGAAAGGTCATACATAAAGAAGAGTCAGAAGTTACTCCAAGACTACCTCCAGCACCCTCTGTCAGCACACCCACACCAGTCGTGGTGGTGAGCAGTCATTACTTTGAATTTCCAATGAGCCAAAAAAAATAGCTGAAGCCATGTCTCAAATCCATGTTTATCATACCCAGCTTGACAAAATGGTTTGTTTTAGGCACCAACACCTAAACCGAGACAACGTTTGATAAAACCTGTAGAAAAGAAGGTATCTTTCGTGGATATTACACCAAATCAGAGTTCTGTAAGTAGTTTTAACATTCAAAATACTAATTTTTCCTTAATGTATACATGAAATAAATGCTGTAAGTTGTGGGATAGTATACCGTACCTGATTTAAATGGAGATAGGGAAATAAGGTACTTTCCCTCCTACTTTGAAATATCAGCTTTTTAATTTGACATTGTTCATAAATGTTAGCCATTGGTGGCCTACTGCCAACCTCCTACCCATATACAAATTTAAAAACGTACCAAAAAAAGTATCTTAAGGCATTTTGAGGTGAGGGATATGACTGCATGGGGGAGTTCATTCATGCCTCCCTTGCATGAATGCATGAGCTCAACTCCCCCACACCACACACATTTACACACATACACACACATACACACACACACACACACACACACACACACACACACCTGCCTTAATTCTCTCTCCCTTTCCTCATATTACTTATTGAACTCAGCTTTACCAGTGATTCTTCTCACTCTTGGCACATACCGATAAATGTTGAAGTAACCTCAGTAGTCAAACTTCAGGGCTAGATATTTTTTTCATCAACATTGAAACTTATTCAGTCACAAATATTTTGTTTAAGTGTAGGAGTACTGCTATTTGTTCAGCCACTGATTAAATTGATTGAAGTGGCCATGAACTCAGTCACACATTTTTGAAAAAGATTTCTGTGCTAACTTACCTTTATTCATAAACTTTGATCTCATTGCTGAATTGTATATTTGTTTTCATTTCATATGCATTGAATATTTAATAGAAATTTTTTAAATAACATATCAAAAACAGAACATGACTTCACTAGCCCCTCACCCCCATTTTTTTCTCTTTCAGTGTTTCCCATTCCCAGCAAATAACTTATTCGTGTACCCATTTACAGTCATGAAATTATGACCTCTTTTCCTCCATCCTACATGCAGTTCATCCACAAAAGTTGTCAATTGTAGCTCATTTCAAAATATATCCTTTGCTATGTCCATCATATCTATAGTCATAACTCAAATTATCATCAATTCTCATAGACTTTAAAAAGATGAAGTTTTTTGGTCATTGGGATGCAACTTCCAGATTATGAGAGGCATACCTCTTAAGCAATGAAATTTTCAATATTAACAGACCTGGACATCATCCAACTACCCTTCTCAAAAATTCTTTTCTCCAAGACTTAAAAGAATACTTGACATTTATAGCATTTATAGAATATATATTTATGCACAAATAACTGAATTCAGATAATTACTCCTCAGCTAATATTTTATAACTGGAACTTGGTGAACTTTTATTTTGTACCAGGCACTGAATTAAATGCTTTTTACTAACTGAAGTCATCTAATCCTACCAGCAACTTATTATAGTTTATGCTGGGGTTACTCCCTTTAAAAAGAAAAGAGGGGCCTGGCTTTGTGTGCATAAAAAACTGAGTTCAACCCCCCACATAACAGTAAATAAATAAATAATCAATAATGTTTAGAAATGAATGTTAAGTAACTAATCAAGGGCATCCACACATCACCCCATTCTGTTGACCTTGGCTCCAGGTGTGTTTCCACTAAGGACCATGCCATCCTTTGCTTTGTTTCCTTAAACTCTGCGTATGACCACAGTCATCTGGGATCTGTTTATCTTTCTGACTCACTTCACTCATGTGACACCCTCCAGTTCCATCCAAGTTGCAGGAATCTGCAGTGTTTCATCTTTTCTCATAGCTGTGTAGTATTTCATTTTGTACATGTACCTTGATTTCTTTATCCAGTCCTCTGCTTTTGGGCACTTGGGTTGTTTCCAGCCTTGACTGCTATTCATCATGCTGTGATTGCCTCTCAGCCTTTTGGCTAAGATCAGAGTAGTATAAACAATGCTGCCATGGTATGCATATGTCTTTTGAATTAATGTTTTTCTGTTCTTGGGGTCAGTGCCCAGGAGTAGAATTTTAGGGTCAGATGGAAGCTCTATTCTTAATTTGTGGAGAAATCTACAAATGATCTCCCAAAGAAACTTAAATAGGCAACAATTTCTACTACCACTTTCTAAAATTTTCTTTTTTACCACATCCTTTCTACCCCTTATTGTTTCCAGACTGGACTGTTTTTTTTTTCTTTTTGGGTCATACCCAGCAATGCACAGGAGTTATTCCTGTCCCTGCATTCAGAAAGTTCTGGCAGTGCTCAGCGGACCATATGTGATGCCGGGGATCAAACCCTGGTCAGCCACATGAAAGGCAGATGCCTTCCCTGCTGTACTATTGCTCCAGTACCCAAACTTTTTTATATAGACCATTCTTACTGCTGTCTGGTGTTCACTCATTGTTTTTATTTGCACTTCCCTGATAACCATTCATGATGAACACTTTGGCATATGTCTATTAACTATTTTTATGTCATCATTTCTTTTTTCTTTTGGTATTTTGGACACACCCAAAGCACTCAGAAACGAGCCCTGGTCATACAAGATCCTTAACCCTGTACTAACTCTCTGGACTCATGTCATCTTTGAGGAAGTGTCTGTTCATCTCCTCTTCTCATTTTTGATAGGGTTGTTTACATTTTTTGTTGTTGGGCTTTGAGAGTTCATTGTATATCTTAGATATTAGCAATATCACTCCAGATCTTCTTAACATTATTAAATCATAGTTGGATAAATTATATTTTATTTAATGCTTTAATGTTGGAATTACTTTCACTGTTTTTAACATAAAAATGCTCCAAAGAACTGTATGTGAAAACCTGAAATTGTATAGCTATCTATAATATTAAGATAATCAGTCATTGCACTGAAATACCTTACTAAACAAATTTATTGTCATAAGGTTAATTACTGCTTTTGCTACTAATTTTTACTTATGCATATACATATTTGTCTGTGTATTATGTATATGTGTATATATATAAAATTTTATAATGCATTGGGGATCAGTTAATAACATACCCTCATGTTTTTACATTAATGTAAGGAGATATCTACTCCTCCTGAAGATATGAAAAAAATTTCACCAGAAGTAAAACATAAACCAGAAACAGAAATTAATATTCCAGCTGTTCCACATTTTCCTAAGGTATTTGTACTGAGTTATTACTTTTGGTGGGGGAGTACCTCCCAGGCAGTGCTTAGGGTATCCACAAGCCACTCCCAATTATTTTTTTTTATTTATTTTTTTGCTTTTTGGATCACACCGAGTGATACACAAAGGTTACTCCTAGCTCATGCACTCAGAAATTACTCCTGGCAATCCTTGGGGACTATATGGTATGCTGGAAATTGAATCCTAGTCCACGGCATGCAAGGCAAACGCCCTACCCATTGTGCTATCACACCAGACCATCCATCCCAATGATTCTTGGACAGCCCAGATGGCAGTTCAGTGCAAGGGCCTGAACATATGATACTGCTTAGACCCTGTAGTGGCAGAGATTACCCCGCCCACCCCAGCAGTGCTTAAGGCCCTCCAAGACTGCACCTGGCAATGCTAGGGGGTCATGCAGTACTGTAGTCAACCTCATGCAAGACAGTACCCTGTACTGTCTCTCTGGGCCCCTTAAAAATTATTATTAAAGGTTTTATTTGGTTCTTTGGTGGGAGGGGACCTCCTAGGTAACAACAAAGGGGTCCCTGCACCACTGTTGGCAATTCTCGGCCTTACTGTGCAGGCCTGAAACTCAGTGGTTGGACTCCACAGTGCCATACTGCTCAGGCCCAGCAATACTTTGTGCCACCAGGGTGACTCTGGAAGTGCTGAGGGGCTCTCAGGCCTCTACCCAGTGGAGTGCATCTGCATGCATGGTACCTCTCCGTCCTTTGAGCTATCTTTCCAGCCCTTGATTTAGTTCATAAAAAAATTTGTCTATTGACATGGATCAGGAGTTACTAGCATTGATCCCACTTTTAGTTATGACTTTCTTGGAGCAGAAAGATAAAAAATATGACACGTGTAACAGCTACAGTTGTGCTGATATGAGCAGGCAGTGAATCAATACATGAATTTAAGAATTAATGTAAATCATTTTGAGATTGATGCATTTTTCATTCTTAGTTTTAATCACACTTCATTTATCTGCATATTTTCATTTATAAAATGTGATTATTTGCTAATGAATTATACATAAATAGTACATGTCTATATGTCTCAAGTTTACATGATTTATTATTCAAGTGTTTCGATAAGAATGCTATAAATATGATCTCAGCATAATAAGTACATTGGTGTGCATTCATATCTTCAGGGTTTTCAAGAAAGTAATGTAAATAAGGTAAAAGAGAATAGTGAGAAAATGCAGCAAGGAAAAGAGGATGATCTGTCTTTACTGTCAGAAGGTCAGTTTGCAGAACGAAGTTCGACTTCTGAAGATGAAACAGAAATAACTGAGGAATTGGAACAAGAAGGTGACTTTATTTTTTAACTTTCATATTTTTAATTTGAAGATTTTTGTTTTGTTTTGCTTTTTGTTTTTTGCCCTAGAAGTGTTCAGAGTCTACTCCCAGTCTGTACTTGGTGCTTGGAGTACCATATATAGTACCAGGAATTGAACCCAGGCCTCCTGCATGTAAAGCAAGTACTCAATCCATTGTGCTATTTCTCCAGTTCCAGCTTTGTTATTTTTGAAATTTAGGGGGCTTGAGGGGCATTCCCAGCGGTCCTCAGGACTGACTTCTGGCTCTGTGCTCAGGGTTGACCCCCGGTGATGCTCAGGGAATCATGTACAGGCTGGAGATCAAAATGAGATTGACCTCATGCAAGGCAAGAAGCTTAACATCTATGCTATATCACTAATCACCGACTTTCTTTTATAAATTAACATTTTGTACCTAAGAGTACTCTTTGATTTATTTAACCTGTCGGTGTTTGCCTCAAAGTACATCTTTATTTAATAGTGGATCAAACTTATGGTAGCTAGTTCTTTTGTTTTAAAATTTTGGGTTTTTTTTTTTTTTGGTTGTTCATTTTTTTGCTTTGTTTTGTTTTTTTTTCTGGGTTTTGTTGTTGTTGTTGTTGTTTGGTGCCACACCAAGAAGTATTACTACCGATATTACTCCTGATACTATACTCCAGGGGTTGCTCTCAGCAGACCTCTGGGGGCCATGCAGTGCCAGATCTTCCACATACAAAACATGTATTGCAACCCTTTGAGTTAGACCCCCAGCCTGAGATTTGTATTTTCCTAACAGAAATGAATTACTGCGTTTCTTTATTTCTACTTGGCATGCCAGTGTTATCGCTAACCAGGTTCCCAATATTTCTTTTTTGCTGGTTTGGTTTGGTTTGGGGGTCAGACCTGGCAGTTCTCAGAGCTAGCTCTTGGCTCAGCACTCAGAGATCACTTCTAATGGGGTTAGGAGGACCATACGGGGTGCCAGGAATCAAATCCAAGCACTCTACCCACTGTACCATCTCTCCAGCCCCCATGATCCAAATATTTCAAGGGACTTTACATTCTCTTTTAGTTCAGGATTATTTAAGAAGAGTGCAATCTTTCTATGCCTGTCCCTCTCTTTCTGACTCATTTCACTTAACATGATACTTTCCATATTGATCCACTTATATGCAAATTTCATGACTTCATTTTTTCTAACAGCTACATTGTATTCCATTGTGTAGATGTACCAAAGTTTCTCTAACCAGTCATCTGTTCTTGGGCACTCGGGTTTTTTCCAGATTTTGGCTATTGTAAACAGTGCAGCAATGAACATACAAATGCAGATTTCTATTATACATTTTTGCCTCTCTGGGATATATTCCCAGGAGTGGTATTGCTGGGTCAAATGGGAGCTTAATTTCTAATTTTTTGAGAATCGTTCATACTGTTTCCCAAAAGGTATTCCCACCAACAGTGAAGGAGAGTCCCTTTCTTTCCACATCCATGCTAACACCAGTTGCTTTTGTTCGAAAAAAATATTTTTTTAAACTTAAGCACTCAAATCAAAAAAGAGACAGTTTGCTATATTATTTAAGTTATATGAACATCTAAAAGCCAAACTAATCTATAGTGAAGAAAACAGGTGTACAGTAGGTACCTGGAGAAGAAGAAATGGGAACATGAGAGAGATGCAGAGGCATGAGATTGCAAAAGGGCATGAGTAAAGCACTGGGGTTGATATATATGTTCACTGTCTTAACTATGGTGTTGATTCCACAGAGTTAATTAGATGGCAGACTATCAGTTTTGTGCTTGAAAAGTGTGCAGCTTAACATATGTCACTCTTACCTTAATAAAACAGAATCTTCCAAATATGGTTTCAAATAGTAAGATTAATTTAATTTGACTGTCACACGACAGACTTGGTTGGGTTTTAGGAAATGTCTGTTTGCCTGTCTTTTTTAAATTACTTTCTAATTTAAAACTGTACAAGCTATAAATTTATTTTCTTCACTTCTATAAAACCATACAGAGTTTTCAGCAGTTTTTCTCTTTTCTTAAATACAGTATAAATGTGAATATCTTTGCTGTGTAAATATGGTATCAAGTTCTTTTGTTTTGAATTTTTTGTTTTCGTTTTTTTTGTGCTACACCAGGAGGTGCTGTGGAGTAATATTACTCCCAACACGATGCTCCAGGGGTTGCTCCCAGCAGAGCTCCAGACAATTTTCATATTGTTCTCCTAAGGATAACCTTATAATCTATGCTTTTTCTCTCCATTTCTCCAATTATAAATATAAATTTCTTTTAACATATTTAAGTTAATGCATCTCTATTTCTTAACAGATGAAGAAGACAGATCAGCTTCTGACAGTGATGAGTGTATTATTCCGGCAGCTGTCTCCAAGAATATCCAACCGGTCAGTAACTTGAGACCAACTCAAAGTGTTCTGAAGTTACTTGTCATTCATAGTGCATCAGTCTTCATAAATGAAAATCGATTTATTGTCATAATCTTATCCAAATAATCACTGAATATAAGAAAATAGTGAAGAGGGAAAAAAGAAAAAGAAAATAGTATTTTTTATTTAATTATATAATAGATCAGCCCTGTATTATGTTTACTTACATGTTCAGAGTAACCTACCATCAGTAGCTTCAATAGAAACTTGCTAAAACCAGTTGACTGTGGAGGTAGAGAGATATCTCAAGAGGTGAGGCCCTGAATTTGATCTCCAGACACAAGAATCCCTGTGAGTTTCTATGAGCCCTTTCCTGCAATCTAGTGCTGGAGATGGACCCTATAAATTGAAAATAAGAAATAGGGTTAAATAGAGATAGTATAGTAGGTAGGGCACATGCCTTGGTATGCAGCTGACGTTGATTTGATCCCCGGCACCACATAGGGTAACCCAAACCCTGCCAGAAATAATCCCTGAGTTTATTGCCAGGCATAAGCCCTGAACACCACTTGTGGTCCGCAAACCAAAAATAATTAAATATTGAGACAAATTTACTAGTTTCAGAATCCCACTTCTTTTCAGAAACATTGTACACAGATAGATAAAAGCAAATCTAATCTTTAAGGAACTGAAAAGACAGAATTTTCTTAAAACTACAATAACTTGCACAAATGAATTCATAGACTAATATCACTTTGTAGACCATAAGAGTTGGTTCATTTCTGACCGAAGTCAGAAGTTTCTTGTGCTAAGGGAATAAAGTGGCGTAGGATTCAAATCTGGACCTTCTCCATGCAAAGCACGAAGTATGCAGCCCTTTGAGCTATTTCTCCAGCCAAAAGTCCTCCTAGGGGGCTAGAGCGGGTAGGGCATTTACCTTGCATGTGACTGACCCAGGTTCAATTCCCAGCATCCCATATGTTCCCCTGAGCACTGCCAGGAGTGCAGAGCCAGGAGTAACCCCTGTGCATCGCCGTGTGTGACCCAAAAAGAAAAAAAAAAAAAGTCCTCCTAGAAAGTCACTGATCTTGGGTGTATATATTTTGCTTGCTTATAAAATATTATGTAAGTTGAAACTTTTTAATGAAAATTACACTTTAATTGGTATGGGAAGTCTTGCTCCTTGCACAGGGGAAATAGTTTTTATAAAGTAAAATGTAAGTACAGTAAAATACATAGGTTTCCTCTGTGGATCTACCTGAATTTTCCTGAAATGAGTAATTTTTTTTACTTTGTATTTTATCTTTTCTACTTTGCTAGTAGCACTGTAACACTGTCCTCCCGTTGTTCATTGATTTGCTCCAGCGGGCCCAGTAACGTTTCTATTGTGAGACTTGTTACTGTGTTTGGCATATCAAATACGTCACAAGGAGCTTGCCAGGCTTTGCCGTGCGGGTGAGATACTCTCGGTAGCTTGCCGGGCTCTCCGAGAGGGGCGAAGGAATCGAACCTGGGTCGGCTATGTTGGCCGAGTACAAGGCAAATACCTGACCCGCTGTGCTATCACTCCACAATCCTTCTTTCAACTTTAAAAATCTCAGGTTGTTAGCTCACTCTCTTTGCAGAACAAACCCATAAAACTTCGGTTATAATAGGAACCTCATTAAAATGAGAAAATCTTTTATGATTGATGGATAAACAGCAGAACAAATCATCAATCCAAAAGCTTTATCATTATTGTAGCACTGTAGCACTGTCCTCCTGTTGTTCATCAATTTGCTCAAGCGGGCCCAGTAACGTATCCATTGTGAGACTTGTTGGCAAATCAAATATGTCACAGGGAGCTTGCCAGGCTTTGCTGTGCGGGCGAGATACTCTTGGTAGCTTGCCGGGCTTTCCAAGAAGGGGCAGAGGAATCAAACTCAGGTTGGCGTGTCGGCTGTGTGCAAGGCAAACACCCTACCACTGTGCTATCGCTCTAGCCCCTGTCATTATTATCCTTATGTAAAGGTAAAGGTAAAGGCCCTCCCGTTGATCGTCGATTTGCTCGAGCGGGCCCAGTAACGTCTCCATTGGAGACTTTGTTGTGTTACTGTGTCTGGCATATCGAATACTCTCGGTAGCTTGCCGGGCTCTCCGAGAGGGGCCGAGGAATCGAACTCAGGTCAGCCATGTTGGCCACTTGTAAGGCGAACGCCCTACCCGCTGTGCTATCGCTTCAGCCCTTATGATTAGTATTATTATCATTATATCATTATTAATTATATACTATCTGACCTATACCTTCTGACATCAGGAATGTATCTTACCTATACCTTCTGTTATATGAAATGTTTTTAATTCAAGATTTGCAAATCAAGCAGGAAATCTTTCATATGATTACCAGTACACTTTTCATTCCATTTCATTTTTTTTCCTTCATCAAGTCTGAAGTTGTTAAATTATACAGTCAATGAGTAGAAATTGTCCACCCTCTATTAGAGAATTTTAGTAATGTTGCAATATACTCTTGTACAGAAATTAGCTTTATAGCCATTTGTATTTGTCAGGGTTTTCCAGAGAAATAGAACAAATAGGATATAGTTAGTGATATGTTTCTAATCTGAGTATGAAAAACCTCAGAACTAGGAGAGCTGATGGCATTGAGTTCCAGCCAAAAGAGCAGGCAAACTGGAGGTCCAGTTCAAGTCCAAAAGCAGAGCAAGAGCAGTGCCCCATTCAAGGAAATCAGACTTGAGGAGTTCCCTCTACCTCTTTTCTTCTGATATGCAGTTCAATAAATGTGGTCCTACCCACATTGAGCAGAGTAATCTACTTTCTTCAGTCTACCCATTAAATATTATTCTAGAGCCCTGCCCTGCCTTTAAACCCTTGCACCCTCTACCACTACCACCCCTACACACACACACACACACACACACACACACACACACACACACACACATCCAGCTTATTTAGAAAATTTCTCAGCCACAGACACCATAATGTTTTGTCAAATATCTGGTCATCCCATGGACCATCCCATGTAAAGTTAGCCATCACATCATTTTAAAAAGAACCTTCTATTAATTACAGCAAGAAGAGTCAGCCTGCATATGTCATTCAGACATTTCTTTTTCGTATGTTGATATTTCTTCCACAAAACTTTCCCTCCTTCATCAGAATTTGTGGATACCTGCATGATTTAGCCTTTTAGATGATAAATATGTGAGAAATGAGCCCTGGGGTCCGAGAAGGCAGTTTTCAAGTGATATATTTATCTAGTCAGTCTACAAACAACACTCATGCCTCTTGTTATAACTCAAGGCTTCACTGTCTAAGCTATGATCAATTCTTATTAAAGAAGTCAAAAAGCTTCTACCAGTTGGGAAGATTGTTCATGAAAGCTCAAGTAGTTACTCAACAGTTAAATTATAAAACCGTTAAATATAAAATAACGTCAGCAGAACGTGTCAGTAATTAAGTGACAGACAGATCATTTTGAGCTAAAGAATATTAGCTGTTTTCTCACCTATCATCATTTTTCAAAATGATTGAAATAAGATGCTGTGAGGGAAGCGACTTTCCTGCAATTGTACTAGTGGCTTCAGAAGTTGGGAGAAATTTCCCATGATCTGTTTTTTTGTTGAGAAGGGTTGGGCCACACTTGTGACTCTGTGCTCAGGGATCACTCCTGGCTGTGCTTTCAGGAGGGGCTTTAGAAGATGCTGAGGATTGAACTGTATTGGCAAGTGCAAAGCAAGAGCCTTACACACCATACTATTTCTCTGGCAGAGACTTTTTATGCTTTATTTACTTGCCTTTTGCCTAGAGAAGCCACAGAATTGGGTCTGTAACAGTTGTGCACCTTTGAGTCATTCCTCTGTGATGAAAAGAAGTGCCCTGCTCTGTCAGAATACATTACCTAGAGCAGCCTGTCCTGTCTAAGAATATAATAAGGCCTCGGTTACAATCCAAAAGTCCAAATAAACATTTTGGATTTTATTCTATAGTCATTAGGGAGATAATTGCAATAATTTTGTTTTCTGTCATATTCGTCATCAAAAAGCAGCATTTAGGTCTGGGAAATATCCCAAAGGGCTGGGGAGTCCTGGGTTCAATCCCCAACATTGCGTCCCCACCCCCACCCCTTGCCAAGCACAACCTCTAAGTGCTACTGAATGTCAGTCCAAGGAGACATTTTTTATGTCACTTAGAAGGACCTGATACTAACATCTTGTTGGGTGGAGGGTTAGGCTTGTTCCTAAGCTTGCTAAATGCACAAAACCCACAGTGTGTTTTAGACCACCGTTGAAGAACCCTGTATTGGGCCTGCAATGGACCAGTATATATGTCAGCAACACTGCAGCCAGCTCACTGGAACTCAGCATCACTCTTAACTAAGGTCGAATAAGGAAATTCAACTTAAGAATGATGTCTGGTGCAAGAAAGAAGCATTCTAAAATATGTAGGGTTAATTCTGATGTACATTACATTCTTCTTTTGTCTATACTTAACTACTTCTGGGAAAGTAGTATGTGTGAGGTACTTTGGAACTTTGCTACAGCCTAACAGAGCATTCACTGTTTCATATATGTGATTTTCTATATGGTTGCAGAGGCTGTCTCAAATGCGTGAACATCAGCTACAGCAGGCAACTTAGAGCAATGTTTATGCTTCAGTAGCCATTCATCAACTCTCGCATACTTTTAAAAATTAGGTCAAAAAATAATAATACAAAAAAAATGAAGTCAACTTTAGGGCCAGGAAGATAACTCACAGCTGGATTACATGGTTTGCATATAGAATACCTTGGTTCAACCCCTGGCATTATATGAGCCCCCCGCCCCCAAGCACTGAGCCAGGAGTAGCCCCCAAGCACTGCCAGATATGGTCCTAACCCATCTAAAACCCAAAATAAAAAAGATAAAAATCAACTTTTCACAGGAAGTACTTACCTCTCACTACTTTATTGTAATAGGTAAATTTAGATTTTGTTCAATTATATACCAGATAGAAAAATAATGTACTCTGTAAAC